AATAGTTTTGGGGAAGGCTTGCGCTCAAGGCCGAACGCAAGCTCCAGTCCGGAATTCTCACTTCTCTCAGAAGCTTCTCTCGAGTTTGCACTGGAAGCTGCACTGGAGCATCAATATGTTTCCTTCTTATTTTGGACAGGCCAAAAAGAGTGTGTGGAGGGGCTTCAGTTTTTTCAGATTTTTCGAATTTCATAAATTTTTAGCGATCTGTATACTTGGAAAAATAGTCCAATTTGGGCCAATTGGCCTGTTGGCGCTAGAGTTTCACTGCATGCTTCTCATGACAAGAAAGAGAAGCCGTTTATTGCGGAATTGTTATGCATTAAAGGTGTTTGCAAGAATTTTAGAATTTGGTCTATAAAATTTTTACGCTTGCGCCGCAAAGCGTAGCATACTAGACGCTAAGCCAACTGGTTTCCTAAACTTGTTTCTTCTTGTTCCTTGTCGTATTTCTAACTCATTTCCCTTTATATGTAAACCACGGATATATAAAACTGTTTAATACGCAGAGTGTAGGATCGTCGAGGATGTCCGTTAACAATGAATTGTTGTATAGGTTAAATGACAAAATTCTAAATACAGATTTCCGAACGTCTTTATTTAGGAGGATTGTCTGGCTCATGTTTTTCCTGTTCAGAAAGTAAGAAAGAATTCCACGGATCAAGAATGTTGAAAGATAATTGTATGCTCTTCACTCTTCAAATATCTGTATTCTTGAGAGTTGTTTCTTTTATAGGCAAAAGTATATCATTGCCAAATACCCTAAGTTTTTAATGACTGACTTTGAAAAGCTTAGTAACGCAATGACAACACTTATGAGTTTAAGATACCCTTTACATATCCCTTTAATAACAAAAACCTGTCAAAAATTTAAAGCCGTAAAAGTTTCATATGAAAAAAATGCTCAAGAGAACAATTTGAAGCTGAATGCTTTCTAAGAAAAAAAGCAAAAGACTTTACGTAAAGACTTTTCGTCTGAGTATACCAAAGAAAGAGGAAATGAATCGGAGAGGGTATATGATAAAAGACATTGAAGCATCAGGAAGATGAAAGTAATAATGGATGAATTATTTTTACAATTTGTACCAAAAGACTTAGAAATTGTTTCACTTTTTCCAAGCTGCGTATGAAATTTTTTAGAACAATTAGATTTTAAACAATCTTTTGGTGGTACAAAACTTGTAAATGGCTTTGAAAAAAGCAAACATTTAGTAAACTAAAGATTTTCGTCTGACACTCTTCAGAGTTTAAAACGTCAGAACATAGATCGAAAACTCTACGCTAGGAAATATATATACCCAGTTGTGGATCGAAATAGACCAATCAGAAACACGAGCACATGACTGTATAGGTTGACCAATCAGTGCCGCTTGCCTATTAGAATGTTACCAGTGGAGTCCTAAGGTGAAAACGAACTCCTTTTGTCTACACAGTAGCGGTTTTTTCGTGCTTTTGTAGATAGATTCTAAAACTGCTAGGTGGAACGACGATCGGGCTTTACCAATAATCCGAAACATGTCGCCATTATAATTTTTTTGCACAATCTGGCTTTTCTAGTAAATGCTGCCCGATAGCAGAATCGAAGGTTTTAGTTAGACTTTAGGGATTTTTCGGGGACTTTTCTCGAAAACAAAGGGATTTTTGGAAAAGGTGTACGAGATTCTCGTAGAGTGATGTGCCCTTCGCCCAAGACTTTGATTGTCTCTCAAGAAAGTAGGAGGTTAGGCTGCATAGACTACACTGAATTAAGACATGAATTCTTTTAAAGAAAACTATGTTTTCAAAGTGATAAAAAAATGGGACGTATAACATTGCTGTCTCATTCTTGATGATGTCGAGCCAGGGAAAGGCCTTCTAAAGGGACAATGATAGCGAGAGAAAACTGTTTTGTCAGAAGGAAGACTCCACTAGTGTCTTATCGAGTATAGCCCGCCTTAACAGTCTCAGTGCTAAAATTGATTTCGTTCCTTTGCCTTTTCCACCTTTTGCAACTGAAGACATTTCTAAAATTGTTGCTTGTTTATCATAATGGCTTAGACTATCCTAAAGATGGGACCACTGGATAAATCCATAAAAATTCTTAGAATCAATGGTTTCTCGGGATGCCTCAAGGAACACCTGAAAAAGACATGAAAGAAATAAGACCAGACTATGGTACGTGCGCTATATTGTGTAATGCCTGTGTAATTATTCTGAAAACTATGTCGGGCTGCAGATTTATTTTCAATGGAATATAATGCACTGCATGCAAATGGTATTACCAACCAAGGAGACAATCAATATATTGGATTGGACTTGTATTAGAACCCTACAGAGAAACGGTTGTAAAACAATAAAAATGTGCAGGCAAGAGAAATCTGGAAACAAAATTAATTAATCCTCAATGAGAAATCTGGAAACTTCGTTTAGAGTTATTCAAAAGATGAAGCGTCTAATCTGAATATATTTGCCGGTTTGAGATTCTCTGGCATTGAAAAATTAAGGACGAGGTAATTCCAAACCAACTTTTATTTGTTTTGGTATTTAAACCTTGCAAATAATTCAAAGGCATTATTCAAATAAAAAGTGGTGTGGTTATGTTATTATCCTGAAGGACGATAGCATAAATTTATCAGTAGAACTTTTACAAGCTATAAATACATTGTCTGGGTACTAGTACCCTAGGTACTAGAGCATCTGTGAAAGAAATCGAGGGGAAAATCACTGCTTAAAATCACGTACACTCTTAAGAATAATCACATTTTAATCACAAATTAATCACATTAAAATCAAATTAATCACAAAGTATAACATTAATCACAAAAGTTACTTAAAACAAATATTACAATCCTTGCCCACTTTTATCCGGATATGTTATTGAAAAATTCAATATTTAGAATTTCCTTTTCACAATTTTCCAATCTTTTCATGAACACGTTGGAAAATCTGCAAATACACACTCGAGAACAACAAGCTTTTATAAGTATCCTGCAATGGAGCAAAAATGAAGGCCTCGTTATGATGCCGGGGTCACTGAAACAACCATTGCCGTTTTGTTGCCCAAATGCCACTGAAGTTGATCAGACCGAAAACCACGCCTGATAGCAGCCATTTTTCACCCATTGCTACAGGGGCGGATCCAGACAGCTCCAGATTTCGCAGTTGCAACTGTTACATTTATGGGAAATGACTTATGTCAGATTTTTCTAATTTCCACAGATAAAGTTTGATAATCAAGTTCCATATCTCTGATTTCTTATTTCATTTTCAAACTTGTAATTTTTTATATCGGTGAAAGTTTCAGGAATGACGCTTTAATTTCCCAATAGCGACATCACTTGTGAGGGCAGAGAACAGAGCACATGCATTTATCTTAATGTCTTTCACCAGGTGTTCAACAAATGTTCACTGTTTTTTTCCATTCCAGGCTATTTGCATCCATGTTGCTAATGCTATTGTTCAGGAAAGATAGCTTTTTTAATGCATATTCAAATTCTTATGACAAAAGAATAGCAGCCCACAGAAGAGAGCACGTGTATTTGTTTTAATGTCTCATTCAAAGTGATCAACAACTTTTCACTGTTTTTCACTTCAGACTATTGCCACCAACCTATAATACTGATTTAATATTTTGCTTATGCTGCTGTTCAGAAAAGATATATCTGTTTTTAGTTGTTAATGTCATTGAACTTTTGCACCTTTTTCGTTTGCGAATCTGCAACGGTCAATTTTTCTTTTCTCGATCCACCCCTGTGCTGAACTGCTTATTTTTCTTTTTCAATATAGTTTGTTGCAAGATCGTGGACGACGTTTATTGAGCATGAAACTATTTAAGAGTACTTTTGAATCTATGATTCAGTTTCCAAAGAATTAAAAATTAATAAAAAAATCAATCACTTTTATCACTAAAATCAAATTAATCACACACAAAGTTGATTTAATCACAAATTAATCACTAGTGATTATTAATCTCGTACACCATTTTCAATTTTCATGATTTGCCCCTCGAAAGAAATAGTCGAGCAGTGATCGGACGTAGAAGGGGGTCTTTCTACCCACTTTCTTTAACCGACCCATTCTTTCACTGTGGCTCTTGCAACTGGCGAGGGGCAAATCACTCTAAGAAAATCTCGTACACCTTTCTTGAAAATTCTATTGTTTCATCTGAAAATCTCCAGAAATCCTTTTGTTTTAGACAAAATCTCATACGCTTTTTGCAAGAGTGAATCGCCCCTCGGCAACCGGGGTAGGGTGCTAGAGACCTAGGCTCCTATACAAAGCCAGGACAGTAACTACCAAGTGGGTAGGGGGCTCATCCACCCGAAATCTCTATAACTATGGATTTATAAATGATCGAGCCGACTGGTCCTCGCCATCATACCATGCCCCTGAATCCCATACATCTAATTAGGGCACTGATTGAAGTCCACTTTATATAAAAGTTCCCAAATTATTTGACTTTCCCTTCCTGTCGTGAAACATGTAACCGACTGCAATATCAAGCCATCATCTTAAAGACCAAAACGAGTTTACCCAGAGACTCATTATGTAAGTCTGTTTTGAGATTTAAGTCAAGTTTTCCAGCAACTTTGCAGTTTCAGTTTTTCCTAAAATAATTTGCTTACTACTTTTCGTTTATACTGCAGTTTGAGCTTACAATGTGCACTTGATTAACTGCAATACTAGAAAAGAACTTATGAAACGTTTATGGCTAAACTTTAAGCAGATAAAAACAGTGAGACAAGATTCGTACGCAGACCCTAAAGTTCAGAAGAATAACGCAATCGCTAAATGAAGTTTTGGACAATTTTGTTAAATACTTTTCTTAAAGTATTTTATCTCCAAGGCAAGAGAAGAAAATTGAAGTTTTGATGCGGGCTGTTCTCTATAAAATTCATCACTATTTTGGCATCTCCATACTGTCCAATATAACTATCCATACTATTTAATACATTTTTTGTTATAGGAATAAACCTTGGAAAAAATCTGACCATATGTTGTTGGAAGTCAGCGTTTTTGGAAGATGGAACCAGGTAGCTACAGAGTGAGTATGATGCTCTTCAAAAACCTTAGGGAAATCTTTCATGGTATTGCCACAACTATATAGCATTTCCAGCCTCTTAGGACAATGCTTTAAACTCAAGAGAGCAAATATGCACGTTTAAAATATTACGGTGAAAGATTATCAGTACACGATGTATAAGAAGCTGAAAAGCCAGTCAAAATAAAAATGGAGAGACTGGTCTTGCTATAGTAAAAAAGCTCAATTGTTTGATTACACGTTCTCTAAACAAAATCCGTACGAGCTGCCCCCTCTCTTTCTCCAGGTAGCTTCTCCAGGTAGCTTCTCCACATAGGACATCTGTGTACTTTTATAACGCAATCTGGGAAAAGAAGTTGGCAAAAAAAACGACACTCCGGTAAGACTTTCCCGGTCACACTTGCCATTCTGAAACACTGGTGTGCTCTTTAAAAAAATCTCTTCCTAACAGACTTTTTACGAGGGAAGTTTCCACAAACAATAATTTCAGGTTGCTGTCCAGCCTGACGCTACTGCAAACGAGGGGCATCTCACTCTAGTAGATGGCAAACGAAAATTCAACGGAAACAAAAGGGTTTCCCAGGATATTCACATATTTTCACAAATGATTTTTACTAACGCTGTGCGAGATTTTCAAGGAGTGATTTGCCCCTTGCCTGCAAAGAATCAGTCTGCAAAATATTGCTCAAAGAATGTTATAAGAAAGCTTGTCCGGTCCTTCTAGCAAATGTCGAAACAAGTTTTCAGGGGTGAAACAAGTTTTTAGTGGTGAAACAGGTTTTTAAGGGTGGAACAAAACAGCATTTAAAGTGTTATTTGCTTTGTTAATGGAAGGGTCTGGAAATCGGCCTGTCTTCCTTTCCTTTGAGACTTGTAAAGGCGTCGTCTGTAGAAATCGTTTATTTGGTAATTGGGTAATGCCTTGTAGGTAATTTGATTTTTGGTTCGTACAGTTTTGATTTAGGTAATTTGGTTCGTTAGTCACATTTGTTATATTGCTGGTAAGATGCTTATTTTGGCGGTTGCTTGGTCAATAGGATAATCATTGCTACGGGGGCAGATAATTAAATTAATTCAGGCCAACTTAGAAGCACGAGTATGTGAATGCGATAAAGATCAAAGGCAATTTCCAGAGGCGCCGGAAGCTTCGTGATGGGGCGGGGGCAGGACCGGCAGAAAGGGCAAATTTGGTTATCAAAGTTTGCTGATGAAACAGATCTGGAATCGTCGTTTAACCAATGACTAAGCCTGGCCGAAAGTGAAGGCCCTGTCAAGGGGGACAGGGTCGGGGTTCGGAAAGCGTTGCCTCTAGGGAAAATTTGCGTTGCTGTGCCCTAAAGACTTTCGGCAATGAAGGAAACATCCATAAAATACTTTGAATCAAGACTACAGTAAAACTTCATTCTCGAAATTCCTTTCCCCCAACATCAATCATAAAGGGAGGCTGGACCTAATCCTACTTTACATAAAATTATTTTGTTCTGATGACCATCTACATTGCTTAATATAACTTTTGGATATAACTCCTCTGAACTTGCTGTTTGTTTCTTTTTCTGTTTAGAAGTTGGTACAATCTGCAGCTATATTCAAGCTAGATAAAGCCAACTAATTTTAATCACCAACGCTAAATATAATTCAAATCAAATATAACTGATGTTGCATACGTATTTCTTGCAAAGATGACAAGTATTGAATGATAACAATTCTGAGATTTTTTCTTTAATTTTTGTAAAGTTGGGAAGTACCTATTTCGTTTGGAACTGAGTTCTATACTTGGCTTGGCTCGATCTGTTTGACAAGTCGCTGGTAGCAATCTGAAATCTGTTCAGCATGATCATGAAAGTTTAAGAGATCTTATCAATCAAGGAAAAAATTGTTGATGGTCAAATTACCTTCGAATAGATTTTCAGCTCTCATCGAAATGGAAAATATTGACTTTTGTCACCCCGTACCGCCCCCATTCCGCCCCCATTCCACCCCTGTTCCGCCCCCGCACCACTAGGGCTCCTGCTGCCCCCGCTGCCCCCGTGGCTCCGGCGCCCTTGGCAGTTTCTATCATTGGCAAAAAGCTTCCCTATATTGTAATCATTATATACATATAACCGATATATCGTTGATGGATATAACCACTTTAACGTAGTAAGGACCCCTCCAGATCAGCATTGTCCTCCTCCTAGTTGAAACCATTAGTATCTGGGGTAGCATGTTAAGAACCTTCATTAACGATATCCCGTTTAGACAAAAGGTGGGTAGCAGGAGGGTCAAAAGAAATCGTTTTGGCTAACCATTCTATTACTGTCAGAAAAAGATATTGGCCAATTGAGAACAGCATGTTGACAGCTTAAAATTGCTCTTCGTGTCACTGTCAAGTAAATAGTACTATTAAAATTTTAAAGTTACATACACACAAGATGTATATGTCTGCATGAAAGCTCCTATACGTTCTCTCTAATTTTTAACAGCGTAAACGAACATAGACTCTTTAGTCAAGAAGCTGCAGTTATTATTACATGTCCCTTTCACGACAATCGTACATATAAACAAGGTTACAGACAGTGGCGGGGCATCGGAGGAGGGGGGGGGGGTTGGGGACTAATCCCCCAACCTTTTCAACGAAATTGTTCTTGCGATTCATGCAAATCTGGTGAGAAAATTTCGAAGGAGAGTGTTGTACGTTATCTAAATCGTTTGGTGTGCAGGTATTCAGACTTACTGGACACTGAAAATTAGGAATACCATCAATTTTATGTTACAGCACATGTTACCATTTTCTATGAGCATTTAGATTTAAATGTAGCGTTTCATTGTTGATTTTTCATATTATTGCTATTTCAAATTATCGAAAATAATGTTTATTGCGAACGGTAAATCAAAGTGCATTATTTGGAGAAAGCGGGTTGTTTTCTATGAGAGATAATGCGTCCGTGGGAAGGGGTCTTGGGCGAAAAACTATTTCTGGGTGCGTCGTTCCAAGCCCCACGTCTTTTGTCACCCCCATATATCTAAGGCTGCGTTGCCACTGGTTACAGACGGTATATACGAAAAAGAAAAATTTTCTCAGAACTTTACCCCTCCCCCCCCCCAACATTTTTTCAGATTTAGAAAAATGGAAAAGTCATAAGATAAAGATTACATTGTTGACGTAAAAACTTGCTGACCCAACAAATTTGCTCTACTTTTTTTGTAAAGCACTGCCCAAGATATGGTGCCTGTCTTACTTGTCGCCATGTTTTCTACCCTCTATTCTTCTTTAGCACTCGGGTAGTATCTCTGCATATTCTTTGATGGGTATTTAAAAATAAACTAAAACAATATCGTTCAATTTCAACGGAATACTTTTTCCTTAAAATTAGCCAATAGAAAAACCACCTTGACAATAGTTGAATGGCCTAACAACATCCCAGGTAGACTATTCCAGGGTTTCTAAATGTGAGTCGTGACCATTCTTGATATTGCATTGAAACATGCCTTTAATAAACAGTGAAGTTGCTCAAAAGCCAATACATCAAGTTCTGCGTGATTTGCGATAGCGATTCAATGTTTGAAAGTTAGATAGGAATTAGTTAAGGTTACGGTAAACGATTTTGACACAATATTTGGCTTTCTCTCCCTAAAAGCAAAACTATTAACGGAATCAGATAAAACTAAACACCATTCGATGCACAAGAATGTGGCGATTTCAACCAAATCAAAATAATTGGCAAAGATTGTAAAATGATATTTTTCAGGCAAATTTATTGCTTAATTGAGTGTACCACCTTTAAAAGCTATTTTGTACCCTTGCGTTTGAGATAACAAAATCTGACTTATATCAGCAGAAAGATGTCTCGGATCTTCCAAATTCCTCCTCCCCTTGAAACTATAGAGTACCGAAGTGATGACGTCATAAAAATATTTTTAGAATTTTTGAAATTTGATCCCATAAACTGAGACAGCAACATTAAATACTTCCAAATATGCAAAATCAGTTCAATGTGATACAAATTGGCTAAGATATGGCCATATGAGCACAGGCTCTGGTCCCATCAAACCTCTGTAATTTGGTCTTGGTTGTAACTTTATGAATCAGGCCAGAATAACAGAAATCCATTAGCAAACTTCAAATCTTCTATTGGCCATCTCGCCCGATTTTGAACATATCTAGCTGGTTTTGCACAGTGAGAGGTATTTTATGCAGTTCTTTCACATTATGTGGTCAAAATTGAGAAATTCTAGAAATATATTTTTGATGACGTCACACTTCGGTACTCTATACCCTATGGCAAACAATTTTTCTTCTCTCTCATAGCTGTATTTGGCTATAAAAGACGGACCAGAGCAAAAACAAAAATTTTGAGACATACTTTGCTTACCCGACATCTGTTTTGTGCAAAGTTTTGTGCCATTGGTTGGTTCCTTGGGTACAAAATAGCTTTTTCGTGCCTGCATGTAGAGGAATTGTAAGTCCGGCGAAAACAGAATTTTTTACTGATCGCAATTGCAAGGTACACTCGTAAACCACAGTGTAATCCGGTCAAGTCACTTGAAGCTTTAAGATCAATAAGCCTGTTTAAATAGACACGACCGTACATTGGATATATGGATGTGCCATGCGATATTGTAAATGAGACATGCGACTACAACCGCAAAGCAACGATAATCGGCTTAAAAGGTCAAGAGATTTTCAGGCCTCAACTAAAAGTTTTGATAAAGAAATTATGGAAACCTTCGTTTACATGGGATTTTTTCAATTTTCAAAATTTCTGTTTGCTTCAAATTTGGTATCAATGTGTGCCTCAAAAGTTCAGCTACTTGAATGTGAAAAAATCGAAAAATGGATGTTTTCATCCAGAAAACATTTACCGTAACCTTAATCTAACAGGGAAGACTTGCCCCCCTTTTCTCTCTAACAGTAACTAAATAAAATGTCTGGAGCAAAGAGTACGTCATTCAATTAGGTTAATTGAACTAGACTTTCCTGTCGCAAGGTTCACCTTTTGTACCCCACAGAGGCTATCAGTGTCTCAGTAATTTAAGGCGTATACAATTTCGTAGCTAGACAAGAGGTGAGGAAAAACCCACGGAATCCTTTAAAAGAAATTCATTGTTGCTAATATAGATTAACATTGAACTACCTAATTCTCAGCTACTACATTCAGCTAAAACATTACTAAGACTTCTCTCTATTAAAATATTCTACACAATCATTTGAAAACTAGACTTTTAAGTCCAAACACCGTACTTGACTATATTTTCCCATCAATCCATCGTTTGATCAAGTGATGGGCAAGGGCGTATTTACCAGGGGCGATTTCGACCCGCTTGCCAGCAACGAATGCTTTGTGAGTTTCTTTTGAGATAAGGCTGATAGCCTGTTCTTTTGTAAACCAGATGGCCTGCAAAGAAAAATCGTACATTTATATTCCATGCTTCCCTAGACTTGTCAATGTAAAATAATGATCATTGTAATGAACGTATTGAACAGAACAAAATGTTACGTTTAAAGGTTGAGGGAAACAGTGCAGGATTAAAAGGTCGAGAACCCAAGGATAAGAAAAGGACAAATTCAAAGAGTTCAGAAATAGATTTCAACGATATTCCATAGGAGTTGGATTATGCCCAATTTTAATGCTAAATAAGAAGCTGTCTTTATGAGACTTAATATCAAAATCGGCAAAAACACCGGTTGAAGTGAAGACACCCTGGGTGCCAAGTATTTACGCCATATATAGTAGCAAGTCAAGTCAAGTCAAGTCAAGTCAAGTCAAGTCGAGTCAAGTCAAGTCAAGTCAAGTCAAGTCAAGTCAAGTCAAGTCGAGTCGAGTCGAGTCGAGTCGAGTCGAGTCGAGTCGAGTCGAGTCGAGTCGAGTCAATAAACAGTCTGCTGCTACTACATGATTTGTGCATTTAAGCTATGGTGTCATCCCTGGCTGCTTTTGTTGCTTTCTACGCTAATTGTTGCTGAGTTTAGGCCATTTTTTGAGGTCAAGGTTGCTTATTGCAAGTGTAGTCTTGTATTTTCAAGTGATGGAGAAAATGTCGCACCAAACAAGGAAAGAAAGACAATGTGGAGGAATCTAAATGGAACATTAAACAAAGTCATAAGTTTAACAAAAAAGAACACCGAGGTTACATCGTTCAACTCTTTCTTTCCTTTTTTCTTAGGTTTAGATTTGCATCGTTTATCATATTCGTTTACATTTACTGCAGAGTAACGTATGCAGTTCTTGATTTGATTTTTCAGAACCTTACTTTTAATATCTCTGCCTGTTCTAGATATGTCTATTCTGCTTTCGAATCTTTGCAAGGAAGTTCTCAATAAAAATTATAAAAACACCTTAAATAAAATTAGGCCCAGAAACCACCGAACATGTTAGAGATTGGGGGCTACGATGTTTTGGGGGCACAAGATGCTAAAAGCAAACCCGCAACCCCGCCCCTGCTTCTATGGGCCCTAGTTAGGCCAACGCTTTTTATCGATTCGTTCAACATAGCACAGCAAATGGTGACAATGAAAAAGGCAATCAGTATCTAACAATTTTTCAAAAAAATGTGTTACAGCCTCTTCAAGTCCGACCTAATCGAATATGATGAAAATACCAGCACATACTATAAACCTAATTTTCCCATTTTTTTATCTTTAATGTAGTTTTTTTCTTTATTCATTTCCTTTGTTTTTTTTTCTAGTGTCATTTGCATTTCTATTATCTCATTCTTACTGTTATACAAACCAAAATGAATTTTAAAATCAAGTCAACCGGACACATGGCTTTGATAGCACTATCTTGAGTTTTTTTCATATGTCCGTCAGCTGATTTAATTGTATATAGGATTGTTTTTTCTTTAATGGTCTTATTGTAATTTTGGATTTAATAATTGAATTTTGAACAACTTACTTAAATGACGTAACGTGTAATTAATTGATTTTCTGAAAAATGTTTTTGAGTTTGACTTCATCACATTACAGATTTCTGGAATTTGTTAGCTAAACGAGATTGCTTCTTTTTTTGATCGTTTGAACAAACAATCTTCGTGTTTTTATGTCCTTTGCAATTGGAACCCTGTAATCAAATCAATCAAAACCAGGAAAAGATTCAAAGAAACACAAGTCAAACGCATAGTACACAATCCGTTTAAAGAATTGAAACTTTTGTATAATTTGCCAATACGACACATAGGCCAATTGTTTACCTTATCAAATTCATTGAGGGAAATTATGATCCAGCTGCGCTGTCGTCAGCACCCTTTGTTTTGAGCGATTAGTTAATAGCCACATTCTTTTCATAAATGGAAATCTACGTCACCAACATACGTCACACAGTAGCCCAAACAACTAAACAACAGAAACATCAACAAACGGACAGAAAAGGGAAGCATGATGAGAAAAGGAAAGTCTGGAGAAGTTGGCATGGTTACTGTCTTGTTCTGACAAAGAGTACATATTATATAAACTTGACTAAAGTTTCAGCAAAAAGTCATGATAAAAATGGTAGCAAAAAGTCATATATTTGCTGCTGCTGTAACAGATCAACATTGAGTTCCTGTTTGCATTATATAGAATGTATTATTGATTTGATTGGTTGATTAGTTAACTGATTGGTTGAGTGCAATGCAATTATTAATTGATTGATTGACTCTCTGACTGGTAGATAGAATGATTCCTAGATATAAACATCAACAATGAATTTGTATGTCATGACGACGGTGATTGGTGATTGGTGATTGATGATTGGTGATTGGTGATTAGTGACTGGTGATTGAAGATGGCGATGTGGTGATTGAATAAGTAAATATACATACATCTTCTAGCTCTTGGTCATCTATCACAATGTCTGTGTGCTTTGCTGTGGCCGAACATCCGAACATGATTGAAGATGGAAATGGCCAGCATTGTGACAACTGATAACTAATATTGTCGATTTCTATTCCACACTCCTCGTAAACCTCCCGATGGGCGGCCGTTTCGAATGATTCGCCTGGCTCTACGAAGCCTGCAAGGCAGGTGAAGAACCCTGGCGGAAATATTGGCTTTCTTGCTAATAGGATCGATTTTTGATCAGGTGACACTACCAATGACATTGTAACAGGATCCACTCGTGGGTAGCATGCATGGTGGTTATTCACTGGAAAGAAGTAAATCAGTTATAGCTACATTCTGCAAAAAAAACAATTTTATAAACCTTAAAGATTCAGGAATTCAGATATATTAGACATAGATTTTCTCTAGGTTAAATCGATTGTGGTTAAATGGTTAAATCATTCTATTACCGAGTTCTGTGTCACCGCCACTCTTTCAAAGCTCAAACTTGTTCACACAAATAGGATCTAATTGGAAATTTTTACAAATAAAAATCCATACCTCAATACAGGTTTTTTTACAGCAAACTTGAATCAGCACTCAGTACTAAAGTTTCTTAATTTGGCATCCAAATTTTGGCGTTTTGATATTAAAAGTTTCTTAGTTGGTTTTTATTTCGGGACCTAAAATTACCCTATTGCTTTGAAGTTGAGCATTTTTGGAAGAATTTAAACGCAATCGTCCCGAAAAAAATCCATGTAGATCAAAATCCAAATGATATTTTCTAAATAAAAATCAACAAAATAAAAACTTCTGGAGACTTTTTTAACAATAGAAATTTTACAGTTTCTTAAATTTTCTTGAGTATAGTACTAAAGTTTCTTTAAATTGGTGGCCATCTTTGTACTAGATTCTTATAAACTAGTTTCTTTCAAATAAAAAAGTGTACATATCATTCTATTGTAGGTCACTTGGGCCTAAAAAGTCATACTTCTTCTTATCTACAACGAGCAGCATTTATTGAAGCTAAATTGACTGATAATTTCACAATTTTTTCATCTTAGCGTATTAACAATTGTAAACATGTTTACCGTATCTTGTTCTGCATTTTTCGTTGCTACACTGTCGCCTGTAGCCTGCTTCAGCCATTTCACTTTCTGATCCACATTCAGGACAGAATCTATGACTGCTATGCCAAGCAAGAACACCACGAGCTTGTGCTGCAATGGATGACTCTACGTCGTTTAGTTTCAACATCCCTGAAAATGCATTACTAAACTTTGCATCTGCCTTAACGTAACTTGAAATCACATCCTGTTTCATATTGTTTCGTAAATTAATTGCAAACCAATCTATATTATTAGAATCTGTTCCTAAAAGTACCACTTCATCTAGTACTCTATCATCATTAAGAAGTTCTGATACCTCTTTGAATGAAAGGGTCTTTAAACAATACCCAGGTTTATTTCCTCTTTTTGACAATAGTGGTTCCAAGGAGCTGAAGATAATAAACCTGCTACTCTCTCTTCTCATTTTGGCATCTACTGTCTCTCTTGATTTGCGGATGTTTGCGCAACGATCGAGAAAATGACCACTATAAAAATTCAGCATCATGTCGGACGATTTGTTTTCAAGAAATTTTGTATGACGCTTTCCTCCTGGAGCAATTGTGTTTTTTTCTATCTCCCTGTAAAAAATGACACACATTTCACTTGGCCACAGATCTGACTAGTTCAGGCTGATAGAGCATACAATAATCAAATTTCAGCCTTAGAGTGCAAGCACCGCGGAGCGTTGAGAAAAGTGGGGGGTCTAAAAAGAGTGGGGGTGGGGGCTAAAACCGTATAGAAAGAGGCTTTACTGGTAGTTTATTACTTAGTATTTGTCATTTTTGCAAAAAGTTTGCCCCCCCAGGCCCCCCTGCTCCGCTGTGCCTCGAGTGGTAGTGCTCCTTTGCAACAGAGTTGAATCGCCATTACTTGCTTTAAATTTATTTCAAACTATGGATACTTGGGAATAACAAAATATAGCGAAAACATAGGACAAAAATAATCATTTCTTTGATCAAATAAGGTATTTTAAACCATTTAAATTTCTTCGCCTCCTTTATAAAAACACTTACTTGACAATTTGTGCTTCAATCAACTCCCAGAGTCTTCAAATTCTAGAGTGCTCTCAATTAGATTACTCTCAATTAGACTCAAATTAAAATCAAATTAGATTCTTCTGAATTGATCAAAGTGTGTATGCCGATGTCGCCAATGCCGGTATCAAAGGGCTACTCATGTACTACGCCACGAATTTGAAAGTGGGAGGGACCAAGGCTAGCAAAAGTAGGGGACCAAGGCTTTTCCCCCTTTTACTGCAGCTTTAAAACTACTTGCCTCGCAAACAATTTGGGGGGCATGGTCCCCCCCCCCCGGTGGCGTGGGCCCTAATGTAGTTGTTTCTTTTTACATCTGTTAAAAGCTGCCCAAATTTTTAAAAGAGAAATCTTGAGATACGATATTAGCAAGAGCTTTGCAAAGAGAAAACGAAACCTTCCAACAAACCTTGTTTTTGCATTTGCATTGACGATTGCATCTTCAAGGGCACCATCAAATACTTTATGTTTCATAAGAAATTTGCCATTTAGATGAATAACTGGAATATCGTATTTATATTTTTCAAACCAAAGCGAATTCTTTTCATCCCCTATGTCAATAACTTCTATTTTGCACTGCCAATAATAAAGGTATCGATGTTTACATCAAAGGTATCGATGTTTATCAAAAATTCATAATTAAATGTTTGAGATGACATTTTAATTTCTAACTATTTTGCAACAATCGACATTAAGAAATAACTTCAGATAGCTTGTTATACCTATGTATTTTAAGAAAAGGAGTTTCAAGTCAATAAATACCTCAGCTAATCCATCTTCGCAAGCAATATTTTTCAAACAAGAACTAATTTTGCAAAGGCAACAAATAACCTTTTTGTCAAAGTGGTTTTTTCACGGGAATACTTATTATTATTATTTACATAGATATAATTTGCTGACTGAAAAGAAAAACTCACCTGGTCTTGGTACCTTTTCAGTTCCTCTTTGGCAACATCACACAAAGGGCAATCATCCTCAAATGCAATAAACTTGTTTAATTAAAATGGTCAACAAAATTGAACAAAGTAACACAGCCAGTCAGGTAATATTCCATCAACCCAAAACCAATTTCTGTCAAGAGAGCTCCTCTTAAAGATATCCCTATCCATAGAAAACTCTGATTTTCTATGAGGTTTCCTGCTTGGCTTTTTGTTGACTTTTTTACTCTTATGATGTTAGTAAATTTTTGTATTTTTGAAAGACTTTTGTATATGATAGAATGTGAAACAAAACTGAACTGGATATATTGGAATATGATCTTTTCAAGTTTGATTAAAATATGCAGGAAGTTAACTGTGCTAAGGTGGAAACTTTTTTATAATTTTGACTGTGCATAGCTGTGACCAGTTTGTGCATTAACTATGCAAGCTGTGAAAGAAATCAGAATAGGCAGGATGCGGGACATTTTAGTTCCGGCCCAAAACTGGTGAATATTTGTAGAAGTGAAAAGTATAGGTTAAACTACTCAAACTTTGAAGCAACGACAATCAGTGCAAGTGATTGAATCTTACAGTGGAATTCATGTTTCTACTGAGCTTCAGATTAAAAAGCAGATAGTAGGCCACATATCAGGAAAAAAATTAAAAATATTGCACCTTTTAGCCGATTGCACCAATTTGTTGTCGACTATGGTGCAAATTTAGGAGCATATATCTCCCTAATTTTTACTACAAAAAACTACAAGTTAGATGTGTTATTAGCTAACACCCAGAAATCTTCAGACAGAGGGGTTGGAGCTTCCCGCAGGGGGGGGGGCTAAAATGACTAAAATAAGCAGTTTTCGTATGTTATTTTGTCAAATTTGCTCCAACAATAACCCAAAATTTCCTCCGATGGGGGTGGGTGGGGTGGGTGCTAGATGCTTTTTATGGAGGGGCTGTAGCCTCCCCCCTAGCCCTCCCTTGGCGCCACCACTGCAACAGGTGAAGCCTGAAAATTCTAGCACATGTGTTAACATATCTGAAGCTAAGCATGTATCTGTCCATGAATTTCATAAAAAAAGAAAGTAGACAACTTTATTGAGATGAAATACCCTATGATAGTAAACAAATTCAATTATGTATCATAATTCGTCTACTATCTGATTAATTTGCCATGGTGAGGTTGGTCTAATGAAATCATGAAATCAAAGTTGAAGGAGAATTAAGAAATTCTATATGTAATATAGGTGAATCAGGCTTCAAAAACAACAAAAGGATGAACAAGAGTTACCCTTCTGCCTATTTCCTGTTCTGTGCTGTAACTGGTAATTTTGGCCCTAAAGCCAATTTTCTCCCAAAAAATGAAGACTTAAATTATGATGATACAGGTAATTAGTCAAAATAAATAAGCTTCTTACACAAAAACTTGCTTGATTACCCATGATTTAAAATATAATTGACCATTTTGCAGATTATTTCAATCAAATCTAAGAGATAAGGATTATTTCTTTGACTCTATTTATGAATGAACAACATGCACAGCTATGTTTTTAGGTTCTGAAAACTAGTGATAATACAAAAATGTGTACTCTTTGTCTTGCTGTAGCTACAAACGACACACTTTCAATTTTTGCAGGTTGTATTACTTGCAGGTAGTTATATTTTCTAGCCATACAGCTCTGAAAATTGACGCCCTTCATACATGTCACTATGGTTTAGTAGCAAGTACTTCCTCCAATTTGCATTCACTTTTAAATAAAATCCGAAGAACAAAATGAATAAAATGGTTATTGCTGGATATCAGGGGAATGTATCCAGAAATTATTTCAAACATTTGACTCAATTGACATCAACACAGAGACATGGTTACTGTAGGAGAAACTGCATGCTTTTTGGTTTTCTGGCAATACAAGTTCTATTTAAAGAGCAATTTTTCTCATTCCAGCTTTGAAATGTTTAGCAAGAGTGAAAATTTCAGCCTAATGTGCAACCAGCTTCAGTACTATCAAACCAAACATAAAACAAACTTAAACCCCATTGAAAGGTTTTTCGGATATCTTAGTTTGATTACGAAATTCATGCCCCTGGCCTAGGGCCAACACATTACTCAAGGATGTAGGGGGTGCGACACCCCAAGTTCTTCATAGGTTTGTCTGTAAATCTTCAGTTGGTACAAAAAAACCCCTGGTTTTGTCAGCAAAATTGTCTATCAGTGGGTGAAATAGCACCTAAATTTGTATTCACCTAATGTTATTGTCAGTGAATTTTACCACTCACCCAACCCCCTGGTCTGGAGGGTCAAGCTACGCAACAGGCATTGCTTAACTACAAAAGACATTAAACACTTTCAGTATCACTCTGTTATATGCCCCACATGCCCCTCCAGCAACCAGGAATCAGGGGGTACTGAATGCGTGCCAACATGCCTTCTTAACAACCTGTTCAAAACCCTTAAAACTTTGGAACCCAGTGTAGGGATACATCTGTAAGCAACCCCCTGACTTACTTGACCTCATAGAGGTTGGAAATGATACATAAATACTATAGGGAATTTTAACTTTACAAAGATACTTTGCCTTCTTTTCAATAGAATTGTTATTCGGTTGATATTCTTATGCTCATCTTTTATTGTTAAACGTGTTCCTAAAATTTTGCATTTCCTTTACTGCCTTCATGCCATGGTCTTTTCAAATGAAAAACAGATAAAACTATGGTAGATAATGATAAAAATAAGCTTATGAATATTTTCTTTAATCTTCATTAGGCCTAAAGCTATGTATGTTTTGGATATTTCGAGTGCAGCTTACGGCCATCCATAGAAAGCAAACTTTTTCTTGCTCCCAACCATGGTGGCGGCTTTCACTAAACCCTTTCAAGATTCTTGAGATTTTTGATGTAGTGATGATACAAAAAAATTTATGAAAATTTCCATGGGTCTTTCTGGTTTCTATATTTATATATTTGTAGATATTTTAGATCAGTTTTTAGAATTTCAAAAGCGTCACATTTGTAAAATTTTTCTTGCTGCTAAACATGGTTGTGCCCTTCATTAAATCCAAGTATGATCTTAACGTTATGGAAAAATGATAAAAGAAAGTTTGGGAATATTGCCTAGGATCTTTCTTCAATCTCAATCAATGTTGAAGTCAATTTAGATGCAGTTTCTGGCAGTCCATATTAGCGCTCCAGTTGTTCTCTGGGTGAAAGTTTGGTCATACCAGGGACTCAAACCACTGACCCTTGGGTCTGTAGTTAGCACCTCCAAAAACTGAGCCATCCTCGCACTAAACTTAATGTTATACTTTCAAAACTTTCCTTCCTGCCAAACATGGTGGCGGCCTTCATGAAACCCTCAACAATAATTACATTGTGCCCTCCCCCCAATTTTCAATCACATTTCGCCTGCCCTGATAGAGTTCTACCATAGACCTAACTTTAGGGGTGCCCCCTAGCCAATTTTGAGCCACCACGCCACTGGTAACAAATTATACATTCTCAATCCAAGCAGGAAGGTTATGAGTCTAGACAGCTTTGCTGGAGTTATAGATCAATTAGATATTCTAACATATAATATATAAACACTGAACACAACAGACATATCTCAAAATACCTTCGAGAAAAGGGTTATAACAGGTTTTTGGTTTTCAGGTGCTGCCAACGTTGAACGAAACCTGAAAAATTGGGGAATCCTCAGCCATCGATTACTGACTGTTGGTATCATCGCGTCGGAAAACAGACAAAAACGTGAAGATTGACGTTGCTGACTTTTGCTGCTAAACCTTTGAATCGAACTATTTCTACATATTGCCGGCAAAGCTAGAAATCGAACAGTTGATCTGCTAAATATAATGGAAAGAAGACTTCTCGCTCTGGGTGAGTCCAATACTTTCCCCGCCATTTTGTATACACAAGTTAACAACATCAACAACAAGTACTCTGTACAGGCATGGCCACTGATCTCAAAAAATTATTGAACTATGAAAAGATTAAATCATATTATATAAAATTATGAAACCATGAATAAATTAAATAAAATTAAAGAAAATAATTGAACCATAAAAAATAAAAAAAATAAATTAGAATCAGTGAACCATGAAAAAATAAATAAAATCAAACAAAATTATCGAACCATGAAAAAAAATATATTAAATTATTGAACCATAAAAAAATAAAAAAATAAATTAGAACTATTGAACCATGAAAAAATTAAAAGATTTTATCAAAATTATTTAACCATGAAAAAATAAAAATGTAAGTCAAATCATTGAACCATGAAAAGATAAAAAAATAATTTACAATCGCTGAACCATGAAAAAAATAAATAGATTTAAACAAAATTATTGAGCCATAAAAATGAAATTAAACCATTGAACCATGAAAAAATAAATAGAATCATACAAAATTAGAGAGCCATGAAAAAACTTAAAAAAATAATTTAAATCATTGAACCATAAAAAAATAAAAAAATAAATTAGAACCATTGAACCATGAAAAGATTAAATAAATTTGTACAAAATTTTTGAACCATAGAAAAAATTAAAAAAAAATAAACAAAATTAATGAACCATAAAAAGATTTAAAAAAATAAACAAAATTAAGGAACTATAAACAAAAAAATTAATTCCATTGAACCATGAAAAAAATAAATAGATTTAAACAAAATTATTGAACCATGAAAAAATAGAAAAATAAATCAAAATTATTAAACCATGAAAAAACTAAAAAAAATTAAACAAAATTATTGAACTATGAAAAGATTAAATAAAATTAGACAAAATTATTCCTTCATAAAAAAATAAGAAAAATTAAGCAAAATTATTCAACCATAAAAAACAAAAATAATAAATTACAATCATTGGGCCATGAAAAAATTAAAAAGATTTAACAGAATTATTGAACCATGAAAAAATTAGAATGATAAATCAAATCTTTGAACCATGAAAAAATTAAAAAAAACAAAATTATTGAACCATAAAAAATAAATATAATAAATTAGAATCATTGGGCCATGAAAAAAATAAAAAAAGTAAACAAAATTTTTGAACCATGGAAAGATTATATAAAATTGTACAAAATTATTGAACCATAAAAAATTTTAAATAATAAACAAAATTATTGAACTGCAAACAAATAGAAAAATAAATTAGAACCTTTGAACCATGAAAAAAATATATAAAATTGAAAAAACTTTTGAACCATGAAAAATAAAAAATTTATGTAGAACCATTGAACAATAAAATATATAAATAGAATTATAAAAAATTATTGAAGCATGAAAAAAAATGAAATTAATTCATTGAGCCATGAAAATAATAAGAAAAAATAAACTAAATAATTGAACCATGAAAGAAATAAGAAAATAAATTACAATCATTGAACCATGAAAAAAAAAAATTAAAATCATTGAACCATGAAAAAAAATAATTTACAATCATTGAACCATGAAAAAAATAAATAGATGTAAACAAAATTATTGAACCATGAAAAAATAAAAAAAATAAATCAAAATCATTGAACCATGAAAAAAATTAAGAAAAAAACAAAATTATTGAACCATAAAAAATAAATATAATAAATTAGAATCATTGGGCCATGAAAAAAATAAAAAAAGTAAACAAAATTTTTGAACCATGGAAAGATTATATAAAATTGTACAAAATTATTGAACCATAAAAAATTTTAAATAATAAACAAAATTATTGAACTGCAAAAAAATAAAAAAATAAATTAGAACCTTTGAACCATGAAAAAAATATATAAAATTGAAAAAACTTTTGAACCATGAAAAATAAAAAATTTATGTAGAACCATTGAACAATAAAATATATAAATAGAATGATACAAAATTATTGAAGCATGAAAAAAAATGAAATTAATTCATTGAGCCATGAAAATAATAAGAAAAAATAAACTACATAATTGAACCATGAAAGAAATAAGAAAATAAATTACAATCATTGAACCATGAAAAAAAATAAATTAAAATCATTGAACCATGAAAAAAAATAATTTACAATCATTGAACCATGAAAAAAATAAATAGATGTAAACAAAATTATTGAACCATGAAAAAATAAAAAAAATAAATCAAAATCATTGAACCATGAAAAATATAAAAATAATAAATTAGAATCATTAAAATGCCATGAAAAAAATAAAAAAAAATAAATAAAACTATTGAACCATGAAATAATATAAAAGCTTGTAGAAATTATTCAACCCTGAGAGAAATTAAAAGAAAATATCTAAAATTATTCAAGCCTGAGAAACATGTGTTTAATTAATAGAAATTTTTTAAGCATCAAAGATATAAAAGAAATTAATAGAAATTAATCGACTATAAAATATAAATAAAATTGATTAAACACGACATACTGCATGATATAATTTCAAAATAGCCTCGAGATTTGAGAACATCTAAGTTTTTTGAGGCCCCAACCCTTGATTTCATTCTTTTCAGCGATAAACATTTCTTTAACAAAGCGAGCCTAATGTTGTTTTATTTATTTTAAAATTGTCAGTATGCTTGAGCTAACCTTCTTTTGTTCACAAGTCAGGACAAAAATCGGCTTAACGAAAACATTGTCAAATCTTTCTATTAAGCCCCCCCTCTCTATTAAGCCCCCTTTTCAAGCAAAAATTTTAAATAGGTCCTACTCTCTATTAAGCTTGCTTTATTAACCTCTGTTAATAATACTTTTAAACTTTGTTTTTTGAAAAACAAAGAAAAACTGCGCATTTAGTGGGTTTCTTGACGATTTTAATGATGATAAGATCGTGTGTATCAAATTTGGCTTATGTAAAGACCTTCTTGTGCGCCTAAGAAGTCACTTGGAATTTATTTAAAGATGAGCCAGGGTTATCAATTGATCCTGGTGATTCTGATGAAGATGAGGACCTTATTATTGATTAATTTAACTTTCGAAGCTGCTAGCAAAATTTTCTGAGAACATTTGTCTGACACTTTTATAACAAAGAAATAGACAAGGGCAGTTCAAATACTCTTTTTTCTTTGCTATCTTATAAGCCCCCTCTTTAGGACTGAAGAAGTTAAATAAGCTCTCTCCCCCAGGGCTTAATAGAGCTTTATTGGTATGTTCCTCTAAACTTTTCGTCAAGGAACAAAATTGCGCTTTCAAGACTTGTAGCGCTGCAAAAGGATCTCTGCTGCGCAATCCTAAACTGCTTTTTAATGAAGGGGTTTCAGGAAGCAGAGAAATGAGGGGCATGAGTCTGCATCATTTTGAAGAATTCCCTTTTTTACAAACGCTCCCAATTTTGTGACAAAGCCTCTCTTTTTTACCTATGTCCCTCCATCTTAGCTTGCGTCATGCAGGCTACACCAACTTTTTAATGCTTCCTAAGTTGTTTTTCTTTCGCTTTGGTAGCCGTCAACATAAGGTAAGATTGAAGCCGCTTCCTCTTTCTGGTGATGCGAGTGAGTTTATAAAAGACTGGATTTAGCTTCTACAGTAGAAGCTCGCATGAAAGAACCTGTTTTATAAGAACCTTGAGGCTAAAATTTAGTCTTTTGAGCCCCCTGAATAAAAACTTGGAAGAAGCCTATACCATATTCACTGGCAAATTAAAGCAGATAAAAGTAAATCAGGTTATGGTATGTCGCCTTCTAATTGAACGTGGGTTATAGATTTTATGCGGGTTTCTACTGTATTGAGACAACAGTGTATGCGTCCATGAGGAGGACTCCAGGACGTCCCATATGAAGAGAGGGCCATCACCACCACTCCTAACAACGTTTTCGTCTGCTTTGGCCTTTTTTCTTTCTTGACTTTGATATACTAGGCATTGTGGCTTTCGCCTATCCATATAATTTCGACAGGGACCACGCACCAGTCTAAATGGGCTGAAAAGGGCGTGACCGCAAATTTTAAGGCTACGCCCCCTAGAACGCCGGGAAGCGCCCCTTTAAGAAAATACTTGCTTATTTCTACTGAAGTTTTATAACCAAACAGTCTGGTTCAGGGAATATTTCAATAGCTATAAAAATTGATAATCTTAGTTTGGGGATAAAAAAACATCAAGAAAAACACCTAGAAAATGAACAAAAAGGGTTCAAGACAAGAAGAACTGCTACTGCTTAGGAGTATACTATTCTATGTTGCATTAGAGTATAGTTAGTAAACGGTAGTAAACTTCTAAAAAAACTATCGCCCCTACTAGCATTAGCGGGGTGGCTATGTTTTCCCTGGGGTGGCCAAATCGATTTTTGCTATTTTGAATTGGCTTATTTTCGAGGGTCGACCCATTTTCAAGGAAATACGGTAGGCAAAACATAAAATACTAATCAAAAGACATTCTATTCAATTACACTGATGTTTCATACAGGCTGGCGGCCACTTGAATTCGTTTATAATATCCAGAATACCAGCTTCAGAGTAAAATAACGTAGAGCAAATTTTTGTTTCGGGCTCCTTAGTTTTTTAACTAAAGGTGATCTTAGTCAATTTCGCCATTGCTTATGAGCGATTGAATCGCACTGTTGAATTGGACAGAGGTGGCACCACGAAATTGAGTCTGGGGTCGGGCTAAGAATCAAGTTTAGTGACAAGAAAATTTTTGAAATCAAGCCTTCTAGAATGGCTAAAAATGCATCTCCCAGACCAAAATTTAACAAATTACTACACCGCTCAGAATAGACAGTTCGACGATGCTCAGAAAAACATTGATTTTATATTTTTAGAAAAAATTTGGGAGGGGACGATTCATGCGTTGGATAAAGAAAGAAAGGGTGACCTTTGGTTCACATCGATATTCATAACAAGAAGCTGCTGTATTGATTGCCAGGGTGCATTCCATGTACTTAGGCCCGAAGATCTTTGGCGTACTCTCAGGCTTTTTGGCGTTCCGAGTGCAAACTAATAGAAAATATTTTTGGCATACGTAAAATTTTCGTTGGTTGGCGTGCTAAACATGAAGCCACGTACATAGTTAAAACGAAAACATATGACACAAATGTTGATTGGGTCATGGCAGCGGAACGTGCTTCGATTGTAGAATCACACGTTTTATTATATTTTTCACAGCATGTTACAGCGAAGTGTTCTACCCGTGTACGATCAATTTTGATGTTCCTAGCCAAATATCACAAGCAAACAATTATGGTGCCCCTTTATCTCCATTTGCGCCCCTATTCAGGAGGGGGCATGGCCCCTTGGCCCCCCTGCCACAACGCCACTGCCTGCTAACCCAATGGCTGCGCGGTGCCCTTCCTTCGAGCATTGTTTTTGAGCAGGATGGTTTACCGCTTCTGTTTGAGGCCATCTGTCTTTTGAAATTAAGCGGGCTTCAAGTTTGATCCAGTTTTTTATAGATCGGTGGAGATGATAGGAGAGGGGAGGACAGAGGAAGGGAGGAGAGGAGAGGAGAGGAGAGGAAAGGAGAGGGGAGGAGAGGGAAGGAGAGGGGGAGAGGGGAGGAGAGGGGGAGAGGGAGAAGAGGGGAGGGAGGAGAGAGGAGGGAAGAGAGGGAGAGGGATAAGAGGGGGAAGAGGGGAGAAGGGGAGGAGAGGGGAGAAGAGAGGGGAGAGGGGAGGAGAGGGGGGAGAGGGGGTAGAGGGATGGAGAGGGGAGGAGAGGGAAGGATAGCTTGTTTGAAAACCCCCTATATTTTCAATAAAAAACAATTTTTACTTCTTTTTGATTTAGTTTGAGGTTTCGCGGAGTATTGGGTGGTGACTGCGCAGGAGGATATCCCATCTGCCACTGCAATAAAGAAGCATGTCGAGAAAAGATGGCAACCATCGTCGAAGGAAATTTTTTTCAAGGTATAGAGAATCGAGCATTTTTATTTATTTATGTTTCACTGTAGTTTTTATCATGTTCACTTTTATAAATGCAATGATTATAGAATTGGGCAAGACAGGATGCAGCCCCTACCAATGCCTTCCTGATACTTTGGCGGGAAGAGTTATTTTTAGGGATGGCGCTATGGAGTGCCCCCCAAAAAGTTCCCAATGAAAGCCCAATATAGAAAAGAATTGTTGGCACTTTGGAACTGTCGAATGAAAATCTTTAAAAGAACCATTAAATTGAAGTTCAGCCTGGATTTTTGACTTTCAGTAAAACTATTGAAACCTTGAGGCTAGATTGTTCTTGATTTGTTCTTAAGCCACAAGCGTTAAGTAGTGAAATTACTAAATATTGTGCTCAAGGAAAATATTTTTAGGAGGTTTCACAGCTTTGTTCAGAATTACATTTTAAAGTATCTCAAACTCAGCTTGTCCTTAATTTTTTCTTCTTAGCTCTTTACTAATTTTAATCGATTTAAATTAACCAATTTGGGTGCACATGTTCTTTTAAATTTGTTCTTATGAGAAAATAATTAATCAAAAACTGTCGCCCAACTTCATGATTTATTAGGAATCTTAGAGGCATCAAATAGCCAAGGGCTGTAGAGAGGGGGCAAATGGGCAAATTTCCCGAGGGCTTCAAGGATCCATAGGGCCTTATAAAGTAATGAATTCAATTTTTAAGAATGTAATTTATCAAACATAACAAAAGTATGCCCATGAATGGTAAAGCATTTTGAATGATTAGAGAAAAATGGCTTCAAGAAATATTCTTGAATTTATTTTAAGCTAAAATAATGTGTGTGGTTGCAAAAGTTTTCTACTGGCTTTCCTTGCAGAGAGGTCTCTTTTGATGTCTTGCCCCCAAGCAGTGGTGGCGCCGGGGGAGGGCTAGGGGGGCTACAGCCCCTCTGTCAGAAGCATCTAGCCCCCCAATCAGAGGAAATTTTAGGTTATTATTGGAGCAAATTTGACAAAATAACACACAAAAACTGCTTATTTTAGTCATTTTACCCCTCTGTCGGAAGCTCCAGCCCCTCTGTCAGAAGATTTCTGGCGCCACCCCTGCCCCCAAGGCTTGCAAAAACTATTAAATGCATAGCCATTTTTACCATCAACAAGATATTTCCATGATATTTAGTCAAATTGGGCAACGATGGATAAAACAATGTTTTTTTGTTATTCATTTCCAAAACATTTCAAATTTAATAAACTGTAAAAGGGACTTGACAAAGCATGTCAGCTACCATTTTTTTAGTTGTCGGCACTTGAACTTTTCTGAGATTTTCAGCACATCATTATTGTTTGGTTTCTAGTGTAACCCCTGAATATTTTATCAAATTTTTGCTTGTGGTCATTAAATTGCCTGAATAGTTGATAGCAGGGGATCTTTAAACATACAAGCTAGTGGGAAATTTCCCCACTAGGCCCTTAAATTTCCCCACTAGTTAGCCCTCGGTTCCCCACTAGCAAGTGCCCTTCTGTTGAAAATTGTTTTAAAACCCATAACTGCTTGTTATCTCGAATTATGTGTCAAATTGTGTGTTACTTCTTTCCTCTTATCGAAAATGTAAACTCTGACTATCTTTGATTTTCTTGCACTATACCAAAGCGAAGTAATGAAATTGGTGGGAAAATCCATTGTCCTGCCAGACCTCCATAAAATTTTTACCTGCCTGCGAGCAAACTATCTTGCAAATGTTGCCTGCAAGACTTTTTTCATACGCATTGCGTAGGATATAAAATTGTTTAAAATAAGAGACATAAAGTAAGGTTTAATTACACAAAGACCGGTAAATTTTCAAAGAACTACTTTCACAGAAAATTATTTTAAAATGCTGATGGTTCTATAAAAAATGGCATTATAGTGTTTAAACAAACTTTAGCTTACGACAAAAAAAGAAAATTTGCAGCGATTGTGTCCTTAATTTTATTCGAGCAACGGACGAAATGGCAGTCTGTTTAATTGCTTGATATTGCTTGAAACTATAATAAATGGTACGTTCAGCTTTTTCGATATTTAGACCATTAACAGCAATCACAATTTCCATCTCTTGCACTCTCCACCCAGATTGGTAGATTGTTCTGAATTTTTTTACATGGAAGCCTTCACTCAATGACCGATTCAACCGATAGCTTGCTGCAGCAACGCAAAAAGAATAAATAATCATTTCAAGATCTTTGGACATCTTGTTCTTGCTGTTAGGAAAAATGTTGCTACACAAATCCCTTTCACAAAGCGATAAAACCTAATATTAACATGGTGAAACTTGTACCTGAATTGTTTCTCTAAATTCTTAAACAATTGAAAGCTTTGAACAAATCTAACTAAGACCACTTTTTCATATGTGCCTGCCGAAGTAATTTGATTGGCATGGTTTGCCTGTAAGCACCGCTCACGCGCTCACACACTTTAGCGAGGCCTGTGTCCTGCAAACATGCCTGAAATTGCGCCATTGTCCTAAAACCATGAAAAGATCTGAATGCCCTTATTCAAATTGATTAATGTGTAGCTTTTGGCTGCATGGGAGTAAGGACTGATGTGCAAGACCATGAAGCCTTACATGCTACAGGGCTATCTCATTCAGCAAATGGCACGTGTGACAAAAAACTTGTATGATCAATGTGGGGCACGAGATTCATATTTTTTTGTCTATCTATTCTAAAGCTATCGTTTTTAATTGTTTCAGCTCATTGGATAAAAGAGACTGGCACTGCATAAAGTTTTGAGAATATTATCTGAATTTGCTGTGGAATCATTTCTTCATGACCTTGTTTGATAAAGGCAATGGTTATGACATATTGTTACAAGTGTTTTAGTTCCAGAAGTCTATTCTCTGAAGTTCGAAATCAACTCTGTCGGATAGAACGTCTCCAGTTACTTTGGATTCGATTCATCTTGCAGCCATGATTAGTGAAAAGAAATTGCTTCCTGATTTTTTCAACTAATCTGAGAGAAAGTAATTGGTGAGTTAAAGTCGAAGTTTATACTACAGAATAACCAACTTGTCGTTGAGAAGGGAAATGTTTTCTGTTTAATTGCATATTTTCTTAAATATCTTCCATTTTTTCTTCTTCTCTTTTGAGTTAACTGACACGAGAGATCTTGTGATATTTTTGGCCCTTGTTACCTTCCGAATACTTTGCCTCTCTTTGATTTTAATTTTTATTTAAGATGTTCAATCAAGTAACTTGCTTTTTCCAACTCCAATAATATATTTCTAGCAATGAGATTGCTGATACCCTTAAAGGAAGGATGGCTGTTCTCTTTGTTGATCTGTGATAAATATATCCTTCTTTGTTTTGAATTTTTGCAGTGAAGAAAGTAGTCTACCCATTATAAAGCCATCGTTTTCATTTGTTTCAGCTCGTTCGATAAAAGAGACTGGCACTGCATAAAGTTTTGAGAGTATTATCTGAATTTGCTGTGGAATCATTTCTTCATGACCTTGTTTGATAAAGGCAATGGTTATCACATATTGTTACAAGCGTTTCAGTTCCAGAAGACTATGCTCTGAAGTTCGAAATCAACTCTCTCGGATAAAACATCTTCATTTACTTTGAATTCGATTCATCTGGCAGCCACTTATTGAAGAGTGGAAAGAAATTGCTTCCTGATTTCTTGAATTATTCTGAGAGAAAGTAATTGGTGAGTTATTGTCGAAGTTTATGCTACAGAATAACCGACTTGTCGTTGAGAATGGAAATGTTTCTTAAATATCTTCCATTTTTTCTTCTTTTCTTTTGAGTTAACTGACACGAGAGATCTTGTGATATTTTTGGCCCTTGTTACATACCGAATACTTTGCCTCTCTTTGCTTTTAATTTTTATTTAAGATGTTCAATCAATTAACTTGCTTTTTCCAACTGCAATAATATATTTCTAGCAATGAGATTGCTGATACCCTTAAAGGAAGGATGGCTGTTCTCTTTGTTGCTCTGTGACAAATATATCCTTCTTTGTTTTGAATTTTTGCAGTGAAGCAAGTAGTCTACCCATTATAAAGCCATCGTTTTCATTTGTTTCAGCTCATTGGATAAAAGAGACTGGCACTGTATAAAGTTTTGAGAATATTTTCTGAATTTGCTGTGGAATCATTTCTTCATGACCTTGTTTGATAAAGGCAATGGTTATCAAATCTTGTTACAAGCGTTTCAGTTCCAGAAGACTATGCTCTGAAGTTCGAAATCAACTCTGTCGGATAGAACGTCTCCAGTTACTTTGGATTCGATTCATCTTGCAGCCATGATTAGTGAAAAGAAATTGCTTCCTGATTTTTTCAACTAATCTGAGAGAAAGTAATTGGTGAGTTAAAGTCGAAGTTTATACTACAGAATAACCGACTTGTCGTTGAGAAGGGAAATGTTTTCTGTTTAATTGCATATTTCCTTAAATATCTTCCATTTTTTCTTCTTTTCTTTTGAGTTAACTGACACGAGAGATCTTGTGATATTTTTGGCCCTTGTTACATAGCGAATACTTTGCCTCTCTTTGCTTTTAATTTTTATTTAAGATGTTCAATCAATTAACTTGCTTTTTCCAACTGCAATAATATATTTCTAGCAATGAGATTGCTGATACCCTTAAAGGAAGGATGGCTGTTCTCTTTGTTGCTCTGTGACAAATATATCCTTCTTTGTTTTGAATTTTTGCAGTGAAGCAAGTAGTCTACCCATTATAAAGCCATCGTTTTCATTTGTTTCAGCTCGTTGGATAAAAGAGACTGGCACTGTATAAAGTTTTGAGAATATTTTCTGAATTTGCTGTGGAATCATTTCTTCATGACCTTGTTTGATAAAGGCAATGGTTATCAAATCTTGTTACAAGCGTTTCAGTTCCAGAAGACTATGCTCTGAAGTTCGAAATCAACTCTGTCGGATAGAACGTCTCCAGTTACTTTGGATTCGATTCATCTTGCAGCCATGATTAGTGAAAAGAAATTGCTTCCTGATTTTTTCAACTAATCTGAGAGAAAGTAATTGGTGAGTTAAAGTCGAAGTTTATACTACAGAATAACCGACTTGTCGTTGAGAAGGGAAATGTTTTCTGTTTAATGGCATATTTTCTTAAATATCTTCCATTTTTTCTCCTTCTCTATTGAGTTAACTGACACGAGACATCTTGTGATATTTTTGGCCCTTGTTACATACCGAATACTTTGCCTCTCTTTGCTTTTAATTTTTATTTCAGATGTTCAATCAATTAACTTGCTTTTTCCAACTGCAATAATATATTTCTAGCAATGAGATTGCTGATACCCTTAAAGGAAGGATGGCTGTTCTCTTTGTTGATCTGTGACAAATATATCCTTCTTTGTTTTGAATTTTTGCAGTGAAGCTAGTAGTCTACCCATTATAAAGCCATCGTTTTCATTTGTTTCAGCTCGTTGGATAAAAGAGACTGGCACTGCATAAAGTTTTGAGAATATTTTCTGAATTTGCTGTGGAATCATTTCTTCATGACCTTGTTTGATAAAGGCAGTGGTTATCAAATCTTGTTACAAGCGTTTCAGTTCCAGAAGACTATTCTCTGAAGTTCGAAATCAACTCTGTCGGATAGAACGTCTCCAGTTACTTTGGATTCGATTCATCTTGCAGCCATGATTAGTGAAAAGAAATTGCTTCCTGATTTTTTCAACTAATCTGAGAGAAAGTAATTGGTGAGTTAAAGTCGAAGTTTATACTACAGAATAACCGACTTGTCGTTGAGAAGGGAAATGTTTTCTGTTTAATTGCATATTTTCTTAAATATCTTCCATTTTTTCTTCTTTTCTTTTGAGTTAACTGACACGAGAGATCTTGTGATATTTTTGGCCCTTGTTACATACCGAATACTTTGCCTCTCTTTGCTTTTAATTTTTATTTAAGATGTTCAATCAATTAACTTGCTTTTTCCAACTCCAATAATATATTTCTAGCAATGAGATTGCTGATACCCTTAAAGGAAGGATGGCTGTTCTCTTTGTTGCTCTGTGACAAATATATCCTTCTTTGTTTTGAATTTTTGCAGTGAAGCAAGTAGTCTACCCATTATAAAGCCATCGTTTTCATTTGTTTCAGCTCGTTGGATAAAAGAGACTGGCACTGCATAAAGTTTTGAGAATATTTTCTGAATTTGCTGTGGAATCATTTCTTCATGACCTTGTTTGATAAAGGCAATGGTTATGACATATTGTTACAAGCGTTTTAGTTCCAGAAGACTATGCTCTGAAGTTCGAAATCAACTCTGTCGGATAGAACGTCTCCAGTTACTTTGGATTCGATTCATCTGGCAGCCACTTATTGAAGAGTGGAAAGAAATTGCTTCCTGATTTCTTGAATTATTCTGAGAGAAAGTAATTGGTGAGTTAATGTCGAAGTTTATGCTACAGAATAACCGACTTGTCATTAAGAAGGGAAATTTTGTTAATTTTTTGCCATTTTCTGTAAAAATCTATTTAGTTTTTCTTCCTCTCTTTTGAGTTTGCTGATAGGAGAGATGTTCTGATTTTTTTGCCGTTGTTTCATATCAAATATTCTGCCTATTTTTCCTATCAATTTTTAGTTAAGAAATTCAATCATATAGCTTGTTTTTGGCAACTTCAATAAATCTTTTACAACAATGAGGTTCCTTATATTCTCCGATATGGTTTGAAAATTGATCCTATTTCTTTTTGATTTTTTCAGTTACAGAAGAAGTCTACCCATAATAAAGCCATCGTTTTCATTTGTTTCAGCTCGTTCGATAAAAGAGACTGGCACTGTATAAAGTTTTGAGAATATTATCTGAATTTGCTGTGGAATCATTTCTTCATGACCTTGTTTGATAAAGGCAATGGTTATCAAATCTTGTTACAAGCGTTTCAGTTCCAGAAGACTATTTTCTGAAGTTCGAAATCAACTCTGTCGGATAGAACGTCTCCAGTTACTTTGGATTCGATTCATCTTGCAGCCATGATTAGTGAAAAGAAATTGCTTCCTGATTTTTTCAACTAATCTGAGAGAAAGTAATTGGTGAGTTAAAGTCGAAGTTTATGCTACAGAATAACCGACTTGTCGTTGAGAATGGAAATGTTTTCTGTTTAATGGCATATTTTCTTAAATATCTTCCATTTTTTCTTCTTCTCTTTTGAGTTAACTGACACGAGACATCTTGTCATATTTTTGGCCTTTGTTATATACCGAATACTTTGCCTCTCTTTGCTTTTAATTTTTATCTAAGATGATCAATCAATGAACTTGATTTTCAAACTGATTGTTATTTCTCTTGAATTTACTGCATTTTTACTTTTTATATATATACTGCGCTTCGAGGTTTACTGATGTCTCAAACACCTTTTTAAGATGCATTCTTCGTCCATCTTGTTTTTTTAGCAAACAGACAAGCAAGCGGTTCATGTTTATCATCACTTTTTTGTGTTACAGGTCATTGTTTCAGTGGTGATTGCTCTGAAATTGAAGTCAACTCTTACCACATCCACCATCACCATGTGCTTTGATGTCAACCAAAGGAGGAAGTCATTGGTGAGTGAAATTCATATATTTTGCTAATAATAACCTTACTTTTATTGTGGATAAAAGTATTTTCACTATTCTAAGATGTTTATATAATTTTTTTTCTTCGAAGAAGATGTAAGTTTTTTGCCACTCTGTTTAGTTTACTTAAAAATTAGTTTACTTTACTTGATCTTGAAGGATAAGTTATAATTATGTTTGATTTGCAAAAGGTTTTACACATAACCTCGCACTGGAATGTCATACATGTTCTTTTCTCTTTTCTACGCTGGGCTAAATCTTTCATTCCTTCGCCGTTGACTTCCTGAACATTTTTTGAACGTTTTTTATTATTTTAAAGGTCAGTTGTTCTGAGGAATGACTTCACTTGGGAAGATACACAAGAAGAAGAGGCAGAAGAAGACGTTGCAGAAGAAGAAGATGCACAAAAGGATGTTCACAAGAAGATGAAGCAAAGAAGATCAAATGAAGAACTGTTGAGAAGATGGACAGATGATACAGAATGCATTCATGTAAATAATTTTGATTGTGAATGGGTTAGAAGTGCGGTGTTTGCTGGCAAAAGCTCTCTTTGGGAACAATTTAAGCCTCCATCCCACTGATTACCTTGATGGCATTCTATTACCTAGAGAAAACTTTTACCAGGCTACGCTCAGGGAGAAGTGAGCACGAATATGAAACTTGGGAAGCTTGCACTGTTTTTGCTTGTGTGTGCATGTATTTGATCTTTCAGTTTTTGAGGGTGAATTACTACTGTTTATTTTGATATGTGCTTGCCAGCATTGACTGCATTTTTATTCCACCGTTAAGGGAAAAGGTCATTTGAGCAGCTTTTTCAACCAAACAAGGTCCAATATTTTCAAATCAAATTTATTTAAAATAAAACTTGATGGAGGTTCCCCAGTATGTTTAGTTTTGTCCTGGGGTTAAGGCCAATTGCTTTATATATTTTGCAAGCCCTAAGTTTTTTCCAAAAAAATCTTTCATTTTTCTATACAAGATATTTTTCTATTCCTCTAAAACAATTTTAAAATTTACTAGGTAAAGGTTGACTATCCTTTAGCAGAGGTTTCAGTTTTTATTCATATTTTCGGCTTGTTATAACAGGATAATTACTATGGGAATGCCAGGAAGTCATGTCATAGGCTTATTGCATACAGATATTACTTTATGCACCTTTGTTTTCCAAAATTATTTCCATTTACTTAAAAGTTTGTTTCAAAGACTGAGTGAAGTGAACTTGGCAGGTCAATTTTGATAGGTGCATATCCCGAAGGTAGACATATAAACAAAAGTTAGGTAATAGGTATGAAAAGCTGCTTGAATGACCAATTCTGAACTTCCTTCCAATCAGCTGAATATCATTTTCAAGGGGGGGGGGTCATTTTCAAAGGGGGGCGCTTTTTGACTATAAACCAAAACAGCGTTGACGTGATAGGGTGGTCGTTTGGTGCCGGTTCTTGAGACTGGACTTGAGATGTTGGCTTGTTCATGTTGGATTGAAGAAAAGTCATACTAGCCCACCCTGTGCTGCTATCCAGAAGAGACCAGATAAACGAGAAAGGATACGAAATTCGATCAACGTCATTTAAAAGGAGGACAATCTTGGAGGAATTCATTGACAATCAGAAAATCAACACCAATCAAAGTTGAGAATCAGCACCAGGATCAGCGTCATTCGAAAAGTGTTGCAGCTTGGACAAAGTGTGCAACAGTAGGCAAACTGGAAACAACAGTGCCAACATGAAACAGACTTTCGAGAGGATCGTTTACACATTCACGCCTACCTCTCTCCTTATCTGTCTGATATTTTTCAATAGTTCTTTCAACTTTTTTACTTCTATCTACACTGCCCTTAAAAACTTCGTTTGCTTGATTTTTTTGTAAAAAATTGTTTATTCTACCATTTATATTTCACTATTCCGTTTTCGCCAAAAGCAAGATGCGTTTACCAAAATTCCCAAGCATATAGATATGATAAACTAGGTTGTGCTTTGAGTGTGAAAGTGGAGAGAAAAATTTCTTTTTTAGGCTGTTTCTAATGCCAAACTGATTTTTGCTAGCCGTTTCCTCATTGATTAATTATCCCTGCCAATAAATGAAGAAGAGCTTTCCTTTATTTTCCCCTTTTTAAAAGTTTTTTCTGAAATATTTTTTTATCTAAAGCTTATTACTTTCTCGCCTATTTTCTTTCTTTTCTTTCCTCACCTGTGACTTTCATCAAATTGCCAAACGACAGACACAAAAACAGAAGGAAACAAGGATGAACTTCACCAAAGGAGATGCTGCTCGCAATTGTCAGAAAATCATGTCTGTTGCTAGAGCCATGCGTCACATTTTACCCAAAACTTTTCATCTCGCGCGTTTTATATTAGTGCTTGAAGCGATAAAAATTTGGGGATAGTTTGCTTCAAATTTTCAGATGATGGAAGGAGGTTCATTCTAGAAAGACTTTGTAAAATGTTGTGTTTGTAATTAGACTTAATCAAATGCAGGTGCAAATCGATATGATAGAGCCAATGGCAAGGGTGGCCCTTCCGTTTAAAGTCAGTTACAAGCAGGGCTCTCATTTCACAATCACCGACCATTTGCTCCTAACGTGTTGTAACAGGTTTCCATTACCCTTTAAAGAATCCTGTTTGCAATCCAAAATATTATCAGAGATTTAGAGAGGTGGGGGAGTTAGAGAGGAAAACTTTGCTCTTTACAGGAATCCATTTTCGCTTTCATTCAGTAAAAATCGTATTTGGAAGTTTTTTTGCCTATGAAAAACAAAATCATTTTCTTGGACTTAGAATGCTAAAATGTTTTGTTATAGGAAAGCCGTTCTATTTTTACAAAAATTTCCTTTTAGCGTTCCAGATGTTTTGAGGCTAGATTTTTTTATTTGGTTAAACGTATATGGGATCTTTGATTTTTGAATAACTATTTAGGTAATCTAGGTAAGCACCACATTATGGTGTTGAGGCTGGAGTTAGTTGATGCCATGTTTGGATACAGTTAGCTTTGCTTGGATACTTGAGATTAGTTGATGCCGGAAAAAGGGGGGCAGGAGAGGACACAAAAAGTGCCTTTATTTGCCATAGTGTCATAGAATTTCCAGGTTCTGGTCAGGTTCGACCCTATTTCTATGTGCGATTTTTTCTTGACTCTCGAATAAAAAAATTGTTCCTTTTTCTGGATTGTTTTCGGTTCCCAAGCATTTATAATTCGGTTCAATACTTCTTACCCTGGGTTCAGTATTTGAAAAAATCGGGAATGCCAGAAAGCTCTGTCATTCGTTTTTGCACCTGCATCGTGTCTGCACATTCTCTTTACGGCTTCTTGTATTAGGGATTGGGAACAGTGAATGTTTGTGCGGACACACCCCCACTCCGCCCCGCCGTGCTGGGCCTCTTCCCGCGGAGTGCTCCGACGTCCTGCCTGCGCTGCAAGATTCTGGTGGGCTCCAGCTGGTCATTCTTCGCTTCATCCTGTCTTGCCGTCTCTGCAAGTTTGTCCTTCATCTCCAAGGTAAGAGGATTTATTACCTCTCTTCCACTATCTCTTCGATTGCTTGTCATCTTTGCTTGTATATTGTACACATTTAATCAGGATCCAAACTCATCATACATTAAATACATGGGGACATTAAATAAGTAGCTTTGTTTACATTCAAACACCGGGAGGGGGCAATGTTTTCGGTGGCTGTTCCAATGATAGGTAGCTTTAACGGCGAGTGAATCATATTGTATTAGAGTATTCTCTTTGCTGCAACGATGTCTTGGTGAATGGGAGTGCCGCAATGGAAACGAAAGGCTGCAATCTAGCAACTAAAAGTGTTGATCGGGGTTGTGTTGTAAGGATAGCAATTTCTGATCCGTCCTGGCTCTCTAGTCGGGTGCGAGGGTCTTTGGTATATGTAGTTCTTTTTATTATTATTTAATTTACCCTATCGGTCAAGGGTACGGCGAAACGTTCTGTTGAATAGGTAACCTTGCAGTTCATTACGTTTATGTGCGCCTTTTATCATTTATTAGTGTAAGATTTTTTTAATTTTGTAGGATTAAATAACTAAGTAATTCTTTATAAGCAATTATTTAAAGTTACAATAATAACTAATTTTAAGTTATCATTCATTAACCTATCACTTAGATTTATCGGGTAAAATGAAACTTTTAGTTCGATATCAGTAATAATAACGTAAAATAAGAGGGAACTATAAAGTTACATAAAGTATTGAAAGTAATTTGATACGTAATATAATTACTGGGGCAGGAATTTCCCTAATGTATCCCTTTTACGTACCGTAAAATTGATGTATAGATCTAAGCAATTGATAATATTATTGATAATGTTCTATAATTGTAATCGAAATGATGATTATGATTATTATTATTGTGTAAGTCTCAAGGTTATGAATAGACCCAATAAACTAAATAGCTAGTTTTTCCTTGATGAAATAAAAAAATTTCTTTATAAATATTCGCGAGTAATAACCTCAGGTTTGATTAAAACAATAAGATTCATTGATGTTTTTCTAATTTTTTATTCAAGAATGAATAGCCACGTACTAAGCTCTTAAGAATAAATTTTTATAATTTTTGCAGGGCAGGAGAATATTTTTCATAGTCAAATTCTCACAAACTCAAAAAGATTTAAATAACTAGATAGTATTTATAATCCTAGCCAACTGATCTTAAATTAATCTACTTTAAATTCATTAATTAGGCATATAGTTATGTTTGTTCGTATTAAATAGCAATTTATTTTAAATATCTCTTTTTAATAATATTTTCATTTATACTGTTACTAGTTCCTTTCTCATCTTCTACCCTTTCTTTCCCCCACATTTTTAAAACCAAAAGTGCTTTTTCTCATTTTTCAAAAAATCCCTTCTAGTTTTTAGCATTTGTTTCTGTACCAAATTAGCAAACTTGCTATCATTTTACATTAATTTTCTGGTAAAATTTTTACGCAAAAGCCGTTGTAGGTACACAACATTTATTTTATTCAAACTTATTTCAAGATCGATAATTGGTCAATGATTTGAGGGTTCGCTAAGCTAGGAAAGTTTCTTTGGCCCCCTTTTTTATTTTAAAATGTTTTGCAAATTTTGATAATATAATTTGTAATTGATCCAAAACTGTTCTCGTTTTCAGAAGAATCCAAATATTTTTCGCAATTCACTTTGCCCCTTTTTTACCTGAAGGGTTTTCTTATTTTTTGGGGGTTTCAAAAACTCGTTCGCTGCATTTCTGTATTTTCAAAAGTGATTTTCACATCCTTAAAAATATCGAACACTCTTTTTCATGATATGGACTAAAATTTGTCTGTTTTTTCATCACCCTTTGCTGTCTTTTCTCAAAACTTTTTAATAAATAATTCTATGTTAAGTATAACTTCTGAGTACATTGTTTGTAACCTGTTTTATCAATATATTTTCACTGAGTTATATTTCTCTCAGTCTTTTAAGTAACTATTTTATTTTTTTATGGTTAGTATATTGCGTGATGAACTGCCGACGCTTAGGCTCTTTTCGACCATTCGCTGCCAAATTTCCCCTCGTCCATAACACTGCAACGGGACGATTTTTCTGTGTGCTTGGCACGTACCGGGCAATGACGAGAAATGCTGGGTGGCGCGTAGACGTTGTGAACAGTGGCCTTACTAGTCAAGTTATCAAAGTTGCTGGTAGGTAGGCTTTGGTAGTCTTGGTCAACGGGTCTGCAACACCTCTCACATCTCACACGGATCAACCTGCAAGGAGTGCGCATTTTAGCACTGTTTACAAAAATTCTCAATTTTTTCCCCTAAAAGCAGTGTGATCTTTCGGCCGGTTAGGTTGTCTGTTTTAGGTTTGCAGGGCAGTGCCCCCAGTAAGCCAATGGTGTCTTGCAGCAACGGGGGAAATGGTGCAATATGATTTACCCCTCAGAAATAGGCTAGGTTAGGCCTTAGGAGATGAGTTTTGATACTGGTTCTTTGTTGTACAATATGCTTGTTAAAATGACGGGCAGTCGAAGAGATGGTGCAGGAGAAAATAAATCCTCTTACCTTAGAGATAAAGGGCAGCCTGCAGTGATGGTAAGATAGATGGAGCGAAGAATGACTGGTTGGGCCCCACCAGGATCTTGCAGTGCAGGTGGGGCGTTGGGGCACTCCGTGGGAGAGGCCCAGCATGGCGGGGCGGAGTGGGGGACCCTTTATACTTGTAAATTTTTTTTTAAAAAAAATTTTTGAACCTTCCCCCTGTATTTTCTCTTGGAGTGCAGACTGTCCCCCTACATTTCGTCTTGGAGACGAGCATGTCCCCCTGACTTTTCAGTCGGAGGCCAGCCTACAACTCCGTAGGTATCCCCCGGTAAGCGGTCTTCCCCAGCTCCGGATGTCCGGAGCCGGGGACTACCGCCCACCGGGAAGCGCATGCGCCGTCCGAATCCCAGCTCTTTTTTCCCATTTTGAATGCCCATTGTTTTGGAAATTCCTATTGTTTCCCATTGTTCCATTGTCCTTCCATTGTTCCAATGTCCATCTCTCCACGTGAATGCCGCTTGAATTTTTGGAGGAAAAACAGCGCTTGAGCCGGGATTCGAACCCGCGACCTCATGACCTTTGACATTAGCAGTCACCCGCTAATACCACCGGACCACAGGGTCGCTTGGTCAGCAAGGGTAACAAGTGCTAGTATATTTTACTTTTTTAGAGAGTTGCAAGGCTACCATTGCTATTCTGCGATATAAACAAACTTTGTAAATATGTTATCTGGTTAATAAAGAAGCAAATAAATATTTTTTTGACTGTTTCTTGTACAAAACTAGGAATTTTGAGAATTCTCCAATGTTCGAAACTAGTAAACCGGGGAACGCTTATAGGGTAGAATACTTTGCTACACAAGTAACGTAGTTGGTTGAAGCACTTCGGGAAAAAAACATTATTATTGATACGTCTTTTTGACTCCAAGGGACTTAAAAATGCTTTATAATTAGCTAAAATTGAACAGTTAAAGAAGGGAAAAATATTTTCGAGTAAAAGTTAATCGAACCCGTGACCCCTCACCTTTGGATTTCACCTCGAAGACCACTAGACCACAGCACCATACAACATTATATAATTTATGGCAGGTCTATGTATAGCAACATTTTACTAGCAATTTCATTTAAAATCAATAAGTTTGAGTCAAAAACAGCCCATAAGGCAGAATTCTGGAGACAAAAAAATGTTTCATTCTAACGAGCATATAAAAAACTATTGCAATCACATATAACTTTATTAACAATCCGCTGCAATAGGCTGGGGTGAAACTTTGGAAAATCACTTTTAGGCTAATAATAAAAATTTAATTGAAAACTGCAATTTTAAGCGTTCTACAAAATGTTAATTTAGGAAACAAACTTTTGGCAATTATAATAATAAGGACAGGGGAAACCGAGACTCCAGAAATTTCCAGAAGGCATTTGCATTTTTCACACAATGAAGCTCAAGAATATTTATTCGAAATCTTGTGCAATCATTTGAATTAAAAAACTCTCGATTATTAACTAGCAAGAAGACCAGATGACTTTTCCAATATGGAGAGAAATTAACTAATGCATCATGGAACAAGCGGCTGGGGGCTACTAGCCCCCTCATCTTTTGCCCAAAATGTAATGAATTAAATACACCTAGTCACAAGGCTCTTTCTTAGCTTCTAAATCCCCTTTTTTCTGTGATGCCTGAGTGAAACTCTGGTAGTGTAGCTAAGGTGAGGGTGTGTACAGTGGAGTATAGTGGTAGCCATTGTGAAGGTATGTGGGGCTGACATCGTGGTGGAAGGAAGGAATATCAAATATCTAGAAATCTAGAGGTAGCACAGTTAATCGCCATATGTTAATACCTCTTTAATGTTTCTAGAAAAGTGTTGCATTCGAATTGTGCTACAATTTTGATTTCAAGAAACTAAAATTGAAATAAATCGCAAGGAAGCCCCTTTAAACCCCTTTTGATTATTAGATGATTGACATCACTGCAGACATTTAACCACTCTATTTAGCCACCTCCCCCCCCTCCCCTAGGACACATGCGTAGGAAAAGCCCTGGGTCAATAAATAAAATAACTTACAAGATATAAAATCAGATACTTAAGTTATTCAACTCTGTCCATCCAAATCAGCATCCACCTGTTCTTCATCATGCTCTCTCTGCTGCCACTCTTCTACCTAAAAATATTTGGTATTACAATGCATTGAAACCAGCAACAGAATATGTCTTTCCAAAAAAGTAAGGAGGGGACAGAGTAGGGGGTAATAGTTTAAGACCCAGCAGCATTTCTTTGGTTTTAAAAAAGGCTTGATGTCCACCAAACGTCTTTTAAAAGTCTTTGCCAAGGATGTTGAGATCACATTCTCTGGCAGTCAGAAAACATTGTTTAGCCAGAAAAAAAGATAGTCCAAAGGTTAGACACATGTTTATGCAGACACAATTATATTTTTACTCAGCAACTAGCCAATGCCATAAAAATTTCAATTTGTTGTTCAGCTTTGGCTACTCAATGCTTTCAAAAATTACGCATTTTTTCTGAAATTCAGATTTTTTCTTCAGGTCCATGCTTAAATACTTTGTGGGGTTTACGCTAAATGTAAATCTGACGTATAAATAACAAGAAATCCATACAAGAGCCAATTTAACAACCATATATTTTTGACATGATTAAAGAAAAAGCATTTCACTGAAAAACTGTGTTAGAATTGTATTGTTTGGTTGAATAATTAATCAAGGATTGGGAAAGACCACAAACCCCTCTATCAACGAGATTTGTGTTGGTAGGTTGTAGAATTTTCCATCCTTTCTGAAGAGAAATCAACCCATGCTGTTTTCTTGAGATATTTTTGTGAAACATTTTTGTAGAAAACTGAATGTTTCAATTTTCTGTCATTCCTTGTTTGTTATTAAAGAACACATTATCTAAAATTATTTGCAATATCCTGCTTCAAAAGATGACTAAAAAAATTAACCACAAACAACAAGGAGATGTCTATTTGTTTGAAAATTTATTTGCACTCTCTGTAAACATAAAAAAATTCAATTTGTGAGAAGTTTATTTCTTATATTGGATTTTTGTTCTTTCATCTATTTCTTGACATGTGATAATGCTGTTCTGAAATTGTGCAAGGAAATTATTTTGATGTTGTCTGAACATAGTTTTTGCAAATTTTGGAAAAAATGTTTTGAAAAAAACATCTTCAATTTCCTAAAATTTCAACTTCCAAATAAGTCAACAATTTCTTTTTATAATTCTACATGATGATAATCATGTTTTGTAAATTTCAGCCATTAACAGCAGTTCCATCCCACATTTAGGGCGGCTCTTTTGCAAATGGAAATATATTTAGGATTGCCTAGTTTAGGAGGTTCAAGATTAAGCCTTTTTAGCAATCCATCAAACTTCCATTGTGGGCCCCACATTGCAAATGAAAATATATTAAGCATTGCTTCATCTAGGTTTTTCAAGTTTAAACCTTTTTTGCAAATCCATCAGTCTTCCATTGTGGGCCCCACATTGCAAATGAAAATATATTAAGCATTGCTTCATCTAGGTTTTTCAAGTTTAAACCTTTTTTGCAAATCCATCAGCCTTCCATTGTGGGCCCCACATTGCAAATGAAAATATATTAAGCATCGCTTCATCTAGGTTTTTCAAGTTTAAACCTTTTTTGCAAATCCATTAGCCTTCCATTGTGGGTACAAGATTGCAAATGAAAATATATTAAGCATTGCTTCATCTAGGTTGTTCAAGATTAAACATTTTAGCAATTTATTAGCCAACCATTGTAGGCCATATATTGCAAATGAATCTGCAACAAGCTTACTTAAGTATCCTTGTACATTAAAAATATACCTACTGTATTTGAGATGTGCTGTGTGCCGTTTATGCAGCTAGTAGAAACCATTAAGAAAATTTCTTCATTGTACTTTGATTTCATTATTGAAAGTTTTGAAATTAGGCAGTTTTTTGAAAAGTTGATGTAATTAGAAAAGTAAACTAACATTAATAGCAGTATACGTTTTTAGGCCAAGATGGTTGCCTAGCTAGCAAGAGAGATAGTACTGTGTGATGTTTAATAACCAGTTTCGATAAGAGTTCATAACCTTTTTATTATGTCAATGATGGTTTTGCAATCTCAAACTTGTGAATGCAACCAAACCTCAGTAATCTCAATATTTTCAATATTGGCTTACTGTGATTCTAAACTTTTCAAAATCGATGATTTTGCCAGCTTAAGTATACCTTATTCCAATTGTCTCTATTCTTATTTCTAGTACTTTGCTGACTTTCTGTAGACGTTTTTCTCCAAAAAGCTGAATGATAAAAGGGATACTTACAAAGAAATATGGAATTAATTTGATGCTTTGTGCATCAGTTTGTCCATTGTTCTTTTGTCTGCACAGGTAGTAACTTAATTTCATAGGGTCTCCCTATCCAAAATCATATCAAATTTGTTTACAGATGTGTCTCCTTTGAAAAGTGTTTGTGACGACCACAATGTCTTGTTTTTGTTGCAAAATCAAACTTTTGCAAGTTAATTTCAAAAGGGACTTCAGAAAATTATCCAAATATTCACCTTATAAGATCCAAATTAAACAATTGAAATTTATAGGTTATATAACAAATGGACTTGGACCAAGCATTTTTGTGTCCCAGTTATGCAAGTCCAACTTAAACACAGAAAAATTTCTACGATATCATCTCATGAGTGACTTATGTTGAATAGTTCAGATATATTCAGCATGTCAACCAAAGCAAATCATTGGATATAATTATTGTTGCGGTTTTCAAATGAAATAAATGGTTAAGGAAAGTTGAAGTAAAAATTATCTGTTAGACAGTGGTCTCTGAGAAAGTTGATGAAAATTCTCCAGCAATCCCAGTTGGTCACATTAACCATGCCCTTTTGGAGAGTCACCTGGCAAATGCAAATGCTCTTTCGAACAAAAAAGTAGAAACTTTATGACACCTTCAAAACAAAGTATATTCTATCATAGAAAGAGAAAAATCCAATACCAGTGGACCATTGACTCATTGACCAATAAACAACAAGGAATACGATTTCATTGATTGGTTGACTTATCTTAATAGATCTATCTTTCTAAACATCCTCTCTATTAATGCTCCTCTCCAACAAACCCTCTCAAAAAACCAAATTTGTCAAATAAATGTGGACTCTAATTAGAAATATTGCAGAAAAGGGCAAATTGGTGTTTTCTATCGTTTCAATAAGCAATGTAAAAAAGGACATCATCATAAAATAATTTCAATGTTTCCAATTAGACTTTTGTGGGAAAGGCATTCAATGGCAAACACGCAGCCTGGTGCAGGCCTGCTGCTTTTCAGGTGTATGATATAACACATGCCTCCACATACTCTGAGAGCTAAATTTAACGTTGTTTTTTTTTAATTTTTTTGATGAGTTTAAATGTCAATCCTTGTAATATTTCTAAAAGCCTTTAAAAAGGCTTGTCAGGATTAGGGAATAAATATCTGATTCCAAAATAGCCATAAGACTAAATATTCTATTCTTGACTTCTCACCAAATTATTTTGCCCTTATGAGAATATTTTAAAATTGAAAAATTTGAATCAAAATAACTATAAAACAGGTGTTTGTTTAAAAATAACAATTTCATGATTTTTTGTTGCCCCTGAAAGGAAAGAAGGCATCAGAGCTTTCAAGAAATGTGATGTTATTGGATAGACATTATGTTGAAGAGTTTAATGGAAAAGGTATGTAACAAAAATTGGTGCCAGGTTTGGGCAAAATATTACGTACAAATCGTCAACCACCAATTATGCAAAGATGCAGCTGCAGTTGCAATAAACGCATTTGCTTATGGCACAGAAAGTTTTCATAATTTTGCCAATAATATTTCATCAAAATTATCACTGACATCTTTGTAGTGCTGGCAATTTCTGTAAAGATTAACCAGCTACTACTAATTTTTACGAGAAAACTTAAGAAAATTTGAATAAAATGATTCAATCTTGAAATTCTTCCATAAACACCTCTCTCTAATTACCGTACCTCTCAATTAGTCACTCGTCCTAAAAGCCAAAGATTTCACTGTTTGGGTCTAAAAGCTTAGAGAAAAATCCTAGGGACTTCATTACACTGCAAAAATTGAAAATCAGCTCAAAATGCATCTTAGGAGCTGAATTAACTGCACTCAGCAATGACTCCCTGCATGAGTAACCTAACTCTATGTAATCTTAGGTATTTTTACTTACATCTGCATACTTTTAATCTTGTGAAAGGGATTTTTATACACAAATAATGGCTAATAAAAAACATTTCTTAAGAAAAAAATCCATTATTAACAGGCCTATAGAGCATTGGCTGTTGTTAATTTGGAAAATTGTGTTCCAGCTCTAATAGTGAGCCATTTTACTAAGAAAATATCTCATAGAATCTAGGGCGCATACCATGTGCTTAGGCATGAAGATCTTTGGCATACACTCAAGTTTTATTTGGCATCCAGCAGGCAAACCAATAAAAAAATTTTTGGCGTACGTAAAACTTGAAGGATTTTCCTCAATCTTGAGGGTTTTTCCTCAAGATGGTAGCACCCGAAACAAAAGAATTGACTTCTGAGCAGTGACTAGAAATAATGTTTTAACACAATGATGGGAAAAAGCTATCATTAAATTGCTAGTATCATTAGGTGCACAAAAACTGCTGCTTTCAACATATGAGAAATAAATTGAAAAACAAGAAGTCTAAAAAATTGTTGCAAAATTGCAGTAATTGCAAAATTGCATTGAATGTTCAAAAGCTGTCAACAAATATTGCAAGGAAAATGATAAAGAGTTGTAAATGTACCCTCGTGCCGATCGATTTTAGAAAGACTTGGAGCAGTAAAGAAATAGTGTGGCTTTATGGCTCTGCACTGAATGATATGTCTGCTTTGCAAGAAAGTTTTGATCTGGTAAAATGTTACCAAATGTCATCCATGTTTTATAATCAATCGGCGGCATCTCCATGCAAATATTTTTCCAAGCTGAGAGTAAACACGTTATGTCTCTTTTATTCAAAAATATTTGTCTCAAGAACCAGTTTGTAAAAAATTATCAGGTTTCACTGGCCCATTCAAATACAGTCTAAATCACCTGACTTTGCTGTTCTCTGCTTATTTGACATCAGTTGATTTGCATAAGACTTGTAGCGCCAAGGTTTCTTATTGCAACAACAAATCATAACAGATAAAAAGCGTGAAGATTTGCAGCATTTTACTGTCTTGATTTTTTTTGCAAGGGTTTTTATCAAAAAACTATTATCACTAAGTTAAAAAGTCGTTATCGGCAGCCTAAATTTTCTTATCTGAAAGTGCAATCGATCTTCGAACTTTCTGAGTACTTGTGCAATAAATTTCTTTAATTTGCAATAAATGTACTTTTCTTTATAAATTTCTTTATTATTCAAAATTGCATCGAAAGGTTGAATTCATTTGGGCATCTCTAAAATGTTGGTAAGGTGATGTATACAACATACGTAAGGTGATATTATATACAACAGAAAAATGGTAATCATATTTTGTTTTGGGGATACATAGGCCTAGGTTATTGCCAATACCTGATCAAGTTTCTGTTGCAAAAGCGGGGCTAACGCAATGCCACAGTTCTTTTATCGAAGGTGTCCAAATGTACTTTCTGAACGGAAGTGTAATGATTTCTCTTTATTTTATCTTTGGAAAGCGAACGTTGGCCTACTACCTCAAATATCAGCAGAACAGAGAATTGAAAACCATAACTCACCATCGATGAATGGATTCTTTTCCAGAAACACAGGATCCCAACGAGACTTTGTTTTCTAAAAGGCTTTGGTTGGCCGCCATCTTCGCCTCTCGTTGATTGTCTTTAAAGAGAGGCCTCCCTCGCATGACCAATGATGTCCTATATGCACAAATCTAAAACAATTAAGAACACCGTGTTGACTATTTTCTAATAAGGACACAATGAAAATTATAAGTCGCTAAGAGATTGGTTTATGTATATAAAGGGCTATATATAAGGTTGAGCATAGGAATAAAGTTGTGCTAAATATTTAAAATATTTATTAAAGTTAAATAGAACAGACTTGTCAAATAAATCATAGAAGAGGCACCATGAAAACCTTGAAAGCTATTCAATCTAAGCTAAGGGAATATTGAAAATAATTCAAAGATGAATAAACAAGAAAGAGGAAAAAAAATAAAAACACTTCAGGCGTAAAAAAATAAAATAAGAAATCAGAAACTAAAATCGACGTAAGGTAGAGGTTAATTGAAAATAAAAATAAAACAAAATTATTGAAAGAAAGAAGGGGCAAAAACATAACTGTAAAGCATTGAAGTGAGACAACGAAAACAAATAGACGTTATTATCTATAAGGTGAGACTTCTTTCTGTATAAATCTAAGATTAGATTTGCCGAAGAAGAAAGGGGCAGAAAAACAAATCATTGCTCTAAAGTGTCGACTAGACACCACGAAAAATAACAAACGTGAATGAATGCAACGTTTCGGTTTCTCGAGAACAAATCATAAATGGAAAAAGCAAAAGTAATGAAACGGCAGAATAAATAAATTGTAAAAATGTTTCAAAAGCAACAATTGAAAATAACCAACTTTAGTGGATGGAAGGTAAACGCTTATTGATAAAATATTAACAACTTATCATGCCATAGAAGGAAAGAAAAAAGTTATCGCTGAACCCTAAACCTTCGAAGAAATATCTCTCTAAACCATGAAGAAACACCATTCAAATCACAAACTTCATTCGATCGAAAGAAAAATTTATTGAGAATAAATTAAAGATAAACTTTGTTGAGAAGGAATGAAAAATAGAATTAGCCAAAGAGGAAAGGGCCAGAAAAAATTAATATCACTCTAAGCCTTGATAAAACACTATTCAAATCAAAAAAATTATTCGATCGTAAAAAAAAATTAATTGAAAATAAATGAAAGAGGAAATTAGGCAAAAAGGAAAGGGGCAGAAAAAAACATCACTTTAAGCCTTGAAAGAAACCATGCTAATAAAAAACTTTATTCGATCGTAAGAAAAACTTTATTGAGAATAAATGAAAGATAAAATTAGCCAAATAGGAAGGGGGCAGAAAAAATAAACATCACTTTAAACCTTCAAGAAAAACCATTCAAATCAAAAACTTTATTCGATCAAAAAAAAAACTTTATTGAGAAAAAATGAAAGACTAAATTAGCCAAAGAGGAAATGGGCAGAAAAAAATCATATCACTTCAAACCTTGAGGAAACACCATTCAAATCAAAAAATTTATTCGATCGAAACAAAAACATTTTTGAGAAAAAATGAAAGATTAAATTAGCCAAAGAGGAAATGGGCAGAAAAAATAGATATCACTTCAAGCCTTGAAGAAACACCATTCAAATCAAAAACTTTATTCGGTCGAAACAAAAACATTTTTGAGAAAAAATGAAAGATTAAATTAGCCAAAGAGGAAATGGGCAGAGAAAATTGATATCACTTCAAGACTTGAAGAAACACCATTCAAATCAAAAACTTTATTCGATCGAAACAAAAACAATTTTGAGAAAAAATGAAAGATTAAATTAGCCAAAGAGGAAATGGGCAGAAAAAATTGATATGACTCCAAGACTTGAAGAAACACCATTCAAATCAAGACATTTATTCGATCGAAAGAAAACCTTCATTGAGAATAGATGAAAGATAAAATTAGCCAAAGAGGAAAGGGGCAGCAAAAATTGATATGACTCCAAGCCTTGAAGAAACACCAATCAAATCTAAACATTTATACGATCGTAAGAAAAAATTTATTGAAAATGAATAAAAGAAGAAATTAGACAAAAAGGAAAGGGGCAGAAAAAAAACATCACTTTAAGCCTTCAAAGAAACACCATGCAAATAAAAACTTTTATTCGATCGTATGAAAAAATTTATTGAGAATAAATGAAAGATAAAAAAAGCCAAAGAGGAAAGGGGCAGAAAAAAATGATATCACTCCAAGCCTTGAAGAAACACCATTCAAATTAGAACATTTATTCGATCGTAAGAAAAACTTTATTGAGAATAAATGAAAGATAAAATTAGCCAAAAAGGAAAGGGGCAGAAAAACATGATATCACTCCAAGCCTTGAAGAAACACCATTCAAATCAAAAACTTTATTCGATCGAAACAAAAACTTTATTGAGAAAAAATGAAAGACAAAATTAGCCAAAGAGGAAGGGGCAGAAAAATAAACATCACTCTGAGCCTTGAAGAATCACCGTGGAAATCAAAAAAAATAATTCAATCGAAACAAAAACTTTATTGAGAATATATGAAAGATTAAATTAGCCAAAGAGGAAAGGGGCAGAAAAAAATGATATCGCTCCACGCTTTGGAGAAACACCATGCAAATCAAAAACTTTATTTGATCGAAACAAAAACTTTATTGAGAAAAAATGAAAGAGTAAATTAGCCAAAAAGGAAGGGGCAGAAAAAAATGATAGCGCTCCACGCTTTGGAGAAACACCATGCAAATCAAAAACTTTATTCGATCGAAACAAAAACTTTATTGAGAAAAAATGAAAGACTAAATTAGCCAAAGAGGAAGGGGCAGAAAAATAAACATCACTCTGAGCCTTGAAGAATCACCGTGCAAATCAAAAGAAATAATTCAATCGAAAGAAAAAATTTATTGAAAATAAATGAAGGATCAAATTAGCCAAAGAGGAAAGGGGCAGAAAAAAAACATCACTCTGAGCCTTGAAGAATCACCGTGCAAATCAAAAAAAATAATTCAATCGAAAGAAAAAATTTATTGAGAATATATGAAAGATTAAATTAGCCAAAGAGGAAAAGGGCAGAAAAATAAACATCACTTTAAGCCTTAAAGAAACACCATGCAAATCAAAAACTTTATTCGATCGAAACAAAAACTTTATTGAGAAAAAATGAAAGACTAAATTAGCCAAAGAGGGAATGGGCAGAAAAAATTGATATCACTTCAAGCCTTGAAGAAACACCATTCAACTCAAAAAAGATATTCGATCGAAACAAAAACATTTTTGAGAATAAATGAAAGACTAAATTAGCCAAAGAGGAAGGGGCAGAAAAGTAAACATCACTCTGAGCTTTGAAAAATCACCGTGCAAATCAAAAGAAATAATTCAATCGAAAGAAAAACTTTATTGAGAAAAAATGAAAGAGGAAATTAGCCGAAGAGGAAAGGGGCAGAAAAAATAAATATCACTTTAAGCCTTAAAGAAACACCATGGAAATCAAAAAAAATTATTCGGTTTAAAGAAAAACTTTATTGAGAAAAAATGAAAGAGGAAATTAGCCGAAGAGGAAAGGGGCAGAAAAAATAAATATCACTTTAAGCCTTAAAGAAACACCATGGAAATCAAAAAAAATTATTCGGTTTAAAGAAAAACTTTATTGAGAAAAAATGAAAGAGGAAATTAGCCAAAGAGGAAAGGGACAGAAAAAATTGATATCACTTCAAGCCTTGAAGAAACACCATTGAAATGAAAATCTTTATTCAGACGAAACAAAAATTTTATTGAGAATAAATGAAAGAGGAAATTAGCCAAAGAGGAAATGGGCAGAAAAAATTCATATCACTTCAAGCCTTGAAGAAACACCATTCAAATCAAAAAAATTATTCGATCGAAACAAAAATATTTTTGAGAAAAAATGAAGGATTAATTAGCCAAAGAAGAAAGGGGCAGAAAAAATTGATACCCTTCCAAGCCTTGAAAAAACAGCACACAAATCAAAAACTTTATTTGGACGAAACAAAAATTTATTGCAATTAAATGAAAGGGGAAATTAGCCGAAGAGAAAAGGGGCAGAAAGAATAAACATCCCTTTAAGCCTTGAAGAAACAGCATGCAAATCAAAAACTTTATTGGATCGAAACAAAAACTTTATTGAGAAAAAATGAAAGATTAATTTAGCCGAAGATGAAAGGGGCAGAAATTAAACATCACTTTTTTGCCTTGAAAAATCACCGTGCAAATCATTATCTTTTTTTTCATGTAAAAAAAATATTATTGCGATTGATTGAAAGAGTAAATTGACCAGAGAGGAAAGGGGCAGGAAAAATTTATATCACTTCAAGCCTTGAAGAAACACCATTGAAATCAAAATCTTTATTCGGACGAAACAAAAATTTTATTGAGAATAAATGAAAGAGGAAAATAGCCGAAGAGAAAAGGGGCAGAAAAAATAAATAGCACTTTAAACCTTAAAGAAGCACCATGGAAATAAAAAAAATTATTCGGTTTAAAGAAAAACTTTATTGAGAAAAAATGAAAGATGGAATTAGCCAAAGAGGAAAGGGACAGAAAAAATTGATATCACTTCAAGCCTTGAAGAAACACCATTCAAATCAAAAAAATTAATCGATCGAAACAAAAACATTTTTGAGAATAAATGAAGGATTCAATTAGCCAAAGAAGAAAGGGGCAGAAAAAATTGATATCACTTCAAGCCTTGAAGAAACACCATTCAAATCCAAAACTTTATTCAATCGAAAGAAAAACATTTTTGAGAATAAATGAAGGATTAAATTGGCCAAAGAAGAAAGGGGCAGAAAAAATTGATACCCTTCCAAGCCTTGAAAAAACAGCACACAAATCAAAAACTTTATTTGGACGAAACAAAAATTTATTGCAATTAAATGAAAGGGAAAATTAGCCGAAGAGAAAAGGGGCAGAAAGAATAAACATCACTTTAGGCCTTGAAGAAACAGCATGCAAATCAAAAACTTTATTGGATCGAAACAAAAACTTTATTGAGAAAAAATGAAAGATTAATTTAGCCGAGGATGAAAGGGGCAGAAAATAAACATCACTTTAAGCCTTGAAAAATCACCGTGCAAATCATTATCTTTTTTTTCATGTAAAAAAAATATTATTGCGATTGAATGAAAGAGTAAATTGGCCAAAGAGGAAAGGGGCAGAAAAAATT